CACTCTCGACGCGAGAAATCTGGCAATGGCAGGCCCTTCACATGGCTTTGGGTTTTCGGGTTAGGGTTTAGGGTAGGGGGTTCGGGAAAAGCTCTGGCTTTGGCTTAGCTTCCGTCCACTTTAGGCTGAAATCCGCGGCTCGTCGAGTTCGGATCGACTCAGCAAGCTGCGAGCCATCAAAGAACCTAGAGTAGCTCAACATAACCCTAAGGGTCCATGTACCCAAATAGTATCTACTTAGGCCTTAAAGTGCTCCCTATTTAGGTACATTGGGCCTAAAGTCTACACTATTTGGGTACAGGTTGGAAAGCCGAACCTGCTAAAGCAACGAGCTTTGAGCTCACAGCTGAGCTCTGTAGTAATGTTTAGGGTTCCGGAGCTGCTACACAGTTCGATTCCTCAGACATCTGCGAATCATCTTCTTGTGCATTGTCCATGAACCATAGACACTTGAAATCCTTCCAACCCGACCTAGTCTCGTCTGAAGACCACTTCTATCTGAACGTTTCCGTCAAATACCAGTGCTGCGGAAAGCATTCGAGTCGCAACATAGTCCCTACGAGGTCGCCAGCGGAATAATATTTGTGGCCCACTATACTATAATCATATAAGAAGCCCCCCAAAATAGTATTGGTATTGTTTAGGCGCCTATAGCTTCAAAGTCAACGTAGAAGCTATGCAAGAATTTGCACATGCCAAACTCTACGGTTAACGGCTTTCGGTGTGAACCGGCCTACGGTGAATCAGAAGCCCCGAAAGCCTAAACATGATACAGCATCACGTGGGAGTTTCCGAAAATTAGGGGGGAACCTTATTTTGGGGTCCTGATAATATGGATCATAATATTCAGGGTACTATATTAGGGTCCCCCAATTTTCGGAAACTCCAATTCAGCCTTTTGAATAGGCCTTCGCAAGCCCTTTGTCGAGCCTGTGGAGCCCTTCTGTCATCTTGCTTGCAAGAACATGGCGCCACAAGAAACCGTAACCCAAAAGCCTCACGCCCAACCACAAAGCCCTAAACCCCAGCACCCGAAACCGAAAGCCCACAAACCCTAAACCCTACACTCCCTCTACCCCTATACTCCCTAAACTCCCTAAACTCTAAACCCTAAACCCTAAACCCTAAACCCCTAACCCCTAACCCCTAAACCCTAAACCCTAAACCCTAAACCCTAAACCACCCTAAACCCTCAAAGCTCCCTGAGCTCCCAAAGGCCTTAAACTCTCCCCCCCGAAACCCAGCGCCTCCCTTGGAGGTTCATGGGTACTTATAAGTGGGGTTATAAGTCCCTTAATGTTGGTTATAAGTATAGTTACCCTACTTATAGCTTATAACCCCGCTCATAACTACCCTAAACCCTCTTTCCCAAACCCTATAGGCCCTATAGAACCCTTTAAAGGAACCCTAAACCCCTTATAACCCTACTTATAACCCTATACTTATAACCACCCGTGAACCTCCAAGCATAGCCTCAGAGGTCTTGAGTGCGAACTTCACTTCGCAGGACCCGGCTTTTTTGAGTCCGCTAAGACCCTAAAGCCCGAGTCTCGGGTTTTGCGTTTAGGCTTCATAAGTTTTAAACCCAAGAGAATAATAAACATAATATTATTTATTGTGGTTCTAAAGGGGGTCTAGTAAACCCCAAGGCCGTCTTGGAACTATCAAAACCCCACCTTCTTTTGTAAGGTCCCTACCAATGGCCCTTTAAGAGAGCCCTTTCGGCCCTTCAGAGTGGGTATTTGCGGTACATTAGACGGTACTTGGGGGTTCCAGGTAGGAAGAGTTTTTGTTTGGTTGATTCGGTTGCACAGTCCCCTGGCTTAGCCCCTGCAACCTCTGCTGGTTGGCATTTCAGTTGTGGACTTGCCTATGTGCCCTGAAGCCTGAGCCCCGAACCCGGAGTATGGCTTGAGGAGCAGGACCTGCCTGGCACTTAGGGTTTGCTTAGGGCCTAAGTGTTTAGGGTTTCCAAGGCCTTTAAGTCTAAGTCATCTTGAAGCCTGCTTATGACATCGCCTGAGCTTCCAGAAATGCGGAATCCTGTATGCGAGCCAAACACAATCAATCGTAGTTTGGGTGCTCTCGGGTTTCACGAGCGGCAAGAGCTTAGAGTCAGAGAAGTTAGGGGACGGCCTCCAGTGAGTATGGGGCTCTGTCGTCGGGATCTGACGGTTTGCACGACGAAAGGGATGTTCACGAGGCGGTCTGTGACTCTGTGCGGAACGTGATGCAGTATGTTTAGCGAAACTGTAGCATGCTACCGCCTCTGTTTAGTGCATGATAGTACCAAGAACTTGGCACCGGATCAACACGCAGCATTCTCCCCAACGAAGACATGTACCTTACGAGCATCCCGGTAGTGGCCCCGGTGGTAGTACGTCGATGGTTGTGTGCAATCGCTTTCGCGATCATTGCAATGCTGGAGATGACACTCAGCATCACAACTTGAGCTACGATTCGTGGATGCACAAAGCCCTAAAAACCTAAACCGAACCCTAAACCGGTAGTATCTGCAGGAGTTCTGGGTGGTATACACGAGCCTGGAAACTGACCCATTGAGGCCGACCATGAGGACATGTTTGCTTAGCTAGGCTTTCTTTTCTACGTAGTTCCGATATAGTTACAAAGCATACCTCGAAGTCTGATTCCAATGACTCCGGCTGCTAGAATATGTTAGGTCTGCAATTTCGTACAGAATCATACGTCCGCTGGCGCTTTGGTTCCGTGAGTGCGTAACCTGATTGAAGTCCAAGGGCGTTTTCAATCATTCTTGATTCTGTCAGGGTAAGCTGTATACTGCTTATCTGAATTCGGTAAGCTTGACATCGCGTCATCCGAAGCACAACCTCACACTCGCACATATTGTACATGATCATGCATATAGATACATGCACATGTCTACGTATACATACAGAAATGACAAGCCACCTAAGCTTGACTCGGCTCCTACCCGGAGCGCCCAAGCCTGGACCCTCCATCTCCCCCTTCCTAGATCCTCAGTACCGCAGTAAGGGCATATGCCCCTACTTCAAGCGGTCTAAGGGTTAGGGCTGTTTAGGGATGGGTTTTGGCAGGCTCTTCTCTCAGGCTTGCATTCTTCTCCTTTTGATCCCTTTTGTTTTTTTTTGGTGGGAGGGGGGGTTGAGGCTTATGATTATGGCCTCGGCATTATTTTCCAGGGTCAAGCGCTTTAAACGTTGGACAAAAGAGGGGCTTATTGCATTTAAGGAAGCTTAAGGGTTTATATGGCTATGGCTTTGGCGATTTGAAGCTCGAGGGCTCAAGAGGTTTAGATTGGGTACTGCGCCCACTCAGTAACAGTTGCATACTATTCATGATATAGATGTATTAGGACCTTAATAGTATGTTACTGTATGGGGGCAGTACTCAAGGATTAGTGTTTAGGGTTTGGCGACTAGAATTTCAGATTCACGGTTTCAGGCTTTAGCTTATCAGGCTGCATGCAGCTGGAAACCCCTACAACTGCTCTGTTCATTAATACATGGGCCTATAGAAAACATGATATAGTGTGTTCGGAGCTACATGGTAAGTTGCACACAATATAGCCCCATACAGGGACCTCAGGGCAAATGAATGATCGCCCCTATTCTACGGTTTAGACCACATTCAAAAGAACCACTGCCGGAGCGATTAAAGCAACCCTAAAAGTAACTTACCAAGGCTCCAATACTGGAACTTCAAGGCTGTAAGGTCCTATGAAAATTAATTCATCAACTCTTCCTGGACCCCCCAACTATCGGTTTAGGGTTTAGGGGCTTAGGGTTTAGGGTTTTACCCACTATTGAGGGCCATGAGGACTCTATTAAAGTGCCATTGCGGGATGCTGGTTACAGAGCCCTTCCAGGGAGCCCCTTAAAGGGAACTCCAGAAAGTTGGAATATGGATTAATGGTAGGATCCCCTATAACTTACCTTAAAGGGGTTACGATAATGATATTCCAACTTTCTGGCTTCTACTGTGAAATATTGCTGGCCCGACCTCGCTAGGTCGGCTGAGCCGCCTCAAAGTGGGGTCACCGTCATGCAAAACTGCTGGGGGCCAAGTTGGGTTTGGGGGGTTTCAGGGGCGTTTGCAATGTAGGGTTTAGGATGCAGCGTTTTTGGGTTCAGGGTTTCGGGTCTGGGGTTAAGCTTTTAACGCTGAGGGTCAAAGGTCTTGGGTTTGTTCATTTTTTGGTGGAGTCTGAAGCGCTTCAGATGATGTCTGTTCCATTCACATCGCAGATCAGATACCGATATTCAACCGGCTTCACAAACTTTACGAATTGCAACTAAAGTGTCAGATCGAATGCAATCAGAAGCGAGCATGCTGGCAAATGCCCAGTCAGCCATCGTACTAATCGCAGAAAGACGGCTTTAGCCATCATTGCCACGATCTCTAGATAACGCCATACAGTAGTTGGAAGTTGCATACTTATCGTAACCGGAGCCACGCCGTTGTTTCGAGCTCTGACGATGGACTGAGCACATGCAAATTGCGACAACAACAAGCGTATGTAATCATGGAGCGATCATGCCTCTCCTGGTGTTTTGATTGTGCCTATCGCTATGGGTAGCTGCGAAGTCGTCGCAAATGAAGGCAATCAGGCCTGTCAACGGGGGAGGAGGAGCAATCACGTTCAACAGCTGATGCAGACACAGCAAGAGCAAACAACGGCAGCACCGCGGTCCAGATATATACGAAAACCTGAGTGTCAAACCAGTACCAACCTGGCAGTCGATGAACTTGCCGGGTTATCGTCATCAGCCTCATCAGATCCATCATCTTCTTCTTTGTTCATCAGACGCGTTGTCGTAGTAGCCGTGTGATCATATAACCACAGTCGCCTTCATTGTGTTCATCGTCCTCGTAGTGTTTGCCGTCTCTTCAGTGGCCGTCGTCAGAAGAAGCAGCAGCAAATTACTCGCTTTCGCCGTCTCCTGCTACGTTGCACGCCATCAACTTCATCGTGCAGCTTCAGCATTTGATCGCGAGGCATGTGCGTCTACAAGATCACGCCGAAGGTGCCTTCAGGGCTTGTTGCTCATTCCTCGGATTCCTCCGGGTCGGATCTTGGCGACGATCCTGAGATGCAATCTAACTCTAAGCCCCACTAGAAGAGAAACACACTGAAAGCGTAGGAAGGTACCACCCTTGCGCCCTGCCTCGGTTCGCATCGTGGTGTTCAGGAAGCCCTGTTGCACCTGGAGTTTAGGGCTAGAGATTACCTTGACCCAATTAACTACCTTGTTTAGATTCGCGAGCGAAATCCGTACGTAGTTCATGGTTGCTTTCCTCCAGCAGCACCGCTGTCGAGGGCACTGCAACCCACAGATTCAAAAGCTCTTAGGTAAGCAACATACCTAGAATTATAGAGGAATCTCGAAGATTATATAGAGTATACAGTATAATGCTCACTCTGGGTACTGCTATCATCCCTTAAACTTGGAATGGTCGTTGCTCTTGGTTTCAGCTTCGAGTCGATTTTGGCGGCAGACTTGTCAGCCAAGCCCTAAACCCCCCAGGGTTTGGGTTCTAGGGGCAAACGATGCGCAGAACCACCCCAACGCAGCCTGAAGGAACCCCTTAAGAAACCCATAAAAGCACCACTCATTAAACTCCCTGCGATAATGTGAACCCGTCAGGCATCCTTATTGAAAGATCCCAAGATAGGGGCCTCCTTAGTTTTTTGAGCTGTGGAGGCCGGCGGCGGCGCTCACGTCCTAAATTCCCAGCAGGCGCTGGGTCAGTTAGCTGCCGGAGCCACGAGAGCTCAATATAAGAAGTCGGCCTCCAGCATTACCAGAGGGCCCTAGAAGGCCCATCAGAAGGAGGGGGTAACGTGAAAGCAAGTCGTGGCTTTTTGGATGTAGAAGACAACTCCCGGCCTGTTTGTTTTTGTTTTTCATCCCGTGCCCACGAACATACCTAAACTCCAACCGCGGCCGTGAAACCACTAAACTCACTAGACCCCTCATCACCTGATCCTACATGCAGAATGCTACAACGAAGACCTGAAGCTGTGCAGAGCATGGAAACCCCGAGCCCAAAAGCCCAAAGCTTCAGTCCCCTAATCCTGTACCCCTAAACCCGAAAATCTACGATCCTTACAAAGAATGCAACCCTAAAGCCGCAACCGCTGAAACCCCCAAAACCTGGACACTGGGTAGTGAAGCCCGTAAGTGGCAACCTTTTCAATTTGTGGTGGGATTCCCCACACGCAAAGCTTGGGCAACAGGATACTGAACAAATCCAGCATCTGATTGAACTGAGATACATAACGATCTTACGCTGTGTCTGCAAGGCCTGGCCCTATTGTAATCATTAATATCCGCCCCCCCCCCCGACCTTCTAAGCCTGCCTTCGCTGTAGAACAAATTGTGGACCCCTTTAACGAACCCTTTGAGAAACCCCATTCTAGCTACTTAAACCCTAAAGCCCTAAACTCCCAAGCCCCAAACCCTAAGCCCAAAACCCTATAAACCCAAAACCCCATGAATTTCTGAATCCTGAAGCTCCGATGTAGCCAATGCAGATCAACGAGCATCCCTGGCCTCTCAGTGCACGGGCAGGGCTTCTCAGAGGGGGACGGTTTGGGTTTAGGGCTTTCGGTTTAGGGTTTGGGGGTTTAGTTTAGGGTTTCATGTTTGGGGATTAGGGTTTAGGGTTCGGTTAGGGTTTAGGGTTTACTTAGAATTTAGGGTTGAGGGTTTGGGCATTTAGGGTATTGGGTTCAGGGTAGTGGGTCGACTCAATTTGGGATTTCAGGCCAGGCTAAGGGTTTGGAGTAATGGGTTGTCAAGGAAGTTGATGGAAGGCGAGCGAGGGTATGGTCGGAATTGAGGGTATGAGGTTGATAGTAGAGTCATCAAGTTCCATGCGTGCGTCATACTAAGAGGTATCCCGTACTGTCCCGACTTCCGAACCCGGAAGATGACATCTGTCAATGCTCACGGGAGACCTGTCATTGAAGTCTGCGGCCTTGATCCGCATGCGTTGGAATACCAGAGGCTTCTTTGCACTACTTCCTTGTGATCCGTCCTCGAATAGTACCCCTTCCCACACAGATCAAGCACACTAACCCACATGTTTATTATGTTTGGGTTTTGCTTTTTCCTTGTCGGACAGAAGAAGTTCAAACCTTTAGGAGTTTCTGGAATGGGTCCCGGGGAATGGGTTGCTGAATTTGGGGATCTACGGCGAATCTACGGTTTCGTCTGAGAGGTTCTACACCTCAAACGGAATCCAGAAACCTTGAACCCAAGTCTCATCGAACCCTCCTTAACCTTGTACCCGGGCAGTTTGTGGCAAACGCTGGCTGGCAAGCCTCCGTGGCCTTTGGGCAGCACCTCCGTTCCCGGAGCGAGGAACAGGCGGAATTCAGCCCTTGGTTTTGGATTTAGTGTTCAGCCCTTGGTTTTAGGGGGTTTGGGGATGAGGGGGCTTGTGATTATTTTATACGTCGTTACCTTTAGGGCATGAGGGATTAAGTTAGGGCTTCATGTTTCAGGGCAGCGTGCTCGGCTTCCCAGTGCAATCAGGTCGATATAGTGGCGTCTCGTGCTGCGGTCCCGACAACGACGCTTCTTGCGTTAAGATATCGGAGATGTTGAGGTGATGGTAGTATACGTCGTCTAGGTAGCAATCGTCATGTAGTTGTAATAGCAGAAGTGGTACATTTTGTTGTGGTAGTAGTCAGATAACTAGCACAAGTACTAGTACGAGGAAACGGTGGGCAAGCTGTGATGTCCGGCCCCTGGGCCTCCAGAACCTTGGATCCTGCGACTCATGCGCCTTTGATTTCCGATAGACTATGATCGATCCGTTGAATGCCGCTAGGGGCCGGTTGCCGAAATACTGGGCTTCAGTGTCATATCATTTAAAAAGAATATGCCCCGATTCAGGTTACTGGAGCCCCAGGAAAAGCTCGAGCAAGCCCAGAGTTTTCGTAGTAAGTTTTCACGACGTGCATTTGCTTTTAGAGCCGCCAGCCTGCTTAAGCCTGAAAGTTTCAAAGGAACCTACCGTCGTTGGGCTGACAGAGAATCCCTAGCGCACTGATCATGGCTTACCTCCCACACCCTCCATCTATCCGCCATATGTTAAGATTAGAGGTTTGGGTTTTAGGGGCCATATGCCCCATCTTCAGGGTACAGTGAGTGTCCTTGTTGGCAGGCAAAGCTCGGCTGGGCGGCCAATGAGACGAACGCGCCGGCCCTTTATGCGATGCTTGGGGGTCCCGGTTTGGGGCTCTTTTTGATACGTCCCTGAAAATTCGATGCGAGACGAACGATGTTAGACTCCGAACACCCATGACATGGCAATGCATAGTAAGCGCATTATTAAGATTACCGCGGCATGCCAACACTTGTGTTACAGCTCGGCTATTATCGCGAAACAGGTGGGCTTGTAATCAGAGTCGGAACTTTGCCTTGCGACAGCCGCCTGCGACTGCCCAAGTCTGACCTGAGACCGCAGAGCTTGCTAAAGGGGCCTATATAAGTGACTACCCTACCACCACTATTTTCGGGGTTCCTCATTTTGACTACAGTATAATGTACCCCCAAACCTTGCTCGAAGTAATAAGGCCCCTGCAGTATGCTTAATGGTGCCCCGGATCCAAGGCAAAGCTCGCCATGCGTTACACGACGACATTCCCAAGCTGCAGAATCTGCCCCTGTAGAACGTTTCCGGGGTAAGGGGGTTTAGGGTTTAGGGGGTGATGCAGCTGAGACCTGAGAAGAGTTTGTTGCAACCTCTGACGCGGCCAGGCCTGGATGCTAAAAGACAGGAGTGGCTGCGTCGGGCTGCTCAGCATGGTGGTTCCATTTCCAGCTCATGACGTAGTGTCATCGTGCTGTTTGGTCTGTTGTAAATGTAGAGTATGTTTAAACTTGTATATACATGTGTGCGCATATGTACAAATGTGTATACTGATTTGAGTTTGTGTCGTATCTCGTCATGCATGCAAAGTAGATAGGTAGGAGCTGTTAGCTGGTGAAATGCATCTATCAACACATTTTCGAAAATACGAACGTGTCTGGCATGTGCCCATGTGCATGCACACACAGACACTTTATATATGCGTACACATATATGTATAGATCATCACTGGTGATATTCTCAACACAAAGTGTTGTTGTGTTGTATCGAAGCACGCCATATCATACAGTATGCGAAGAATTGACTGTAGCAAAATGCAGTGTGCGATGCACCATAATGTAATAGAACAGAATCCAATACAATATTGTATAACAATGTGGTATAGTCTTCAGTAACACATATACATCCGCACGTACGCATGCATGCATGCATGCATGCATTGATGTATGTATGTACGTATGTACGTTGTTGTATTTGTATGTATAACTGCATACTCATACGCTTACTCATGTATTCGTGTGTGTATAACTGTATAACCATAGATCTAACTTTGAATTTGATTGTTTTGGTTATTTTTTCCGTTTGTTGGTTTGTCCTTATGTTGATACTTCTGCACTCTTATGTGCTTATCGACTTTCGTCGTGATTCCGTATAGGTTTGTTTGTTGTCGCGTGCTCAATGAGTTATCGGTAATTGTCTTTCGGCAGGTAAAGTCAGCAACATACATGTAGCCGCTGTTTGCCCATAGGCTCCGTTGTAGTTCCTTTGTGGGACTGCGTTCTAGGATTAACACCAAAAAGAAACTACTATGGGGCCTTTGTTTAGAGACCAAGCTCCAGATTAACCCCCCCCCCCCCCGCCCTAATTCTCGAGACGAGGACGTTAGTTTGATCTCTTCCGTCGACACATCGCTGAACCTACAAGTTTCTGAGTCTTGCTGGACGGAGCCTCTGAAATAGGGGCCCAGACTAACAGTGTGGTGCGAAATGGCTGAGTTTGGGGTTGAGGGGTCTGAGTGCATCTAAACTTCCGAATCCTAGGCGATGTAATGTTGAAGCCCTCTCACAGGCGTTCTGTGCTCTGAACAGGATATCGAGAAGCCGGACGAAAGCCTCCGGGAGCAAGTCTTGGCGAGGGCGGCCAACAGTGGCGCGGCTGCCATTGCTAACTTTGAGCTCTCATGCCTGATTGGCTGTCTTAAGAGATAAGAAGTAATGGCTTTTGGAGTAGCTCTGACTATAATCACATCACAAGCCTTTTCTGCCTCCATCGCGATCATTATACCCACCCCGTTTAAAATCCGCAGCATAAAGAGCATACTTCGGCCGCTAGAGCATAGCAGCCCGGTTTCGGTCTTCGGAGTTTCAGCTCTTGTCGGATGTTTTTTGGGGGCTGGCTGGTACAGCTCAGGTAGTCATAGGATCTACTTGGACCCCAAGAAGCCTACAGGTTTGGGGCTGCTTACTACAATATCCTTACCCACATCCTTTGAAAGGTACTTGGAGGGGCAGGGGACTTAGTAAGTAGGTTATATATAAGTACCCTAAATGGACTTACCCCAATTATAACCCTACTTCTAACCTACTTACTAAGTCCCCTGCCCCTCCAAGTAGTTTATTTGGGGTAAAGGTAGGGCTAGGCCCTATACTTTCGGCCTCGGCTTGGAGAATTGGGTGCCTTCAGAAATCGCACAATTCGAGCAGGGGGGATTTATAGCTCGTGTCCGGAGACTCAGTCAGCTGCCGCTGCCGCTGACTCATTGTAAATAATATGTGGACTCCAAACGCTATAGGGACCCAAATAATTACGATTACTATTTTGGGGTCCTTATTTTAAACATATAGTATAATGGGCCCCAAAACCCTATTCTAATTTTTAAGGCCCCTATACTACACTATCGGTACCGAGGGGCTGTCAAGCCATGTCCCTGCTGATCAAGCCACTCGACTCCGGCAAATGAGCGTGAACCCAAAAGCTCACCTTCGAGAATCCACGGAGGAAGCATCGAACGGCATAGAAGGAGCAAGGAAGCCTGAACATGAGGCTCGGCTTGCCGAAAGTAGGGTTTAGAGGTTTAGGGTTAGAAGCCCCCCAAGACTCAATATCCTGACAATTACGGTTCTAAACGCTGAGCAAAACACTTCAAAAGCCCTACACCCCGGGAGTCTGACTGCAAGCCGTATAACCCTTAACGCTGCGGCCCTTGTTGCTGTGGTTGCGCTGTTGCAGCTCAGGTTTGAACGGCGGGACTCTCAGCTTTCCTGGCCGCTTTGGGGCTTTGGTTTTGGATGTATAGGGCCAGGGGCATTCAGAGTGTAGGGTGCATCAGTTTAAGGGCTTCTAGTTTGTAGGTTCAAGATTTCGTCGCAGCTTGCTGAGCCCTCGTGCGTTTCGCATTGTGAGGGAGCTGACGCCTGAGCATCTTGTCGCGGACTTCAGGCACAGAGTGCAGGTGTGGCTGCGGATGGCGACGCGGCTCAGAGAATCGCTCGCCTGCTCAACTTTGAAGTACGTGTTCAATAGTACAACAATCATCATTGAGCATCATCATCATCATCAGCCTTAGCCGCTATAGACCATATCTCCTAAATCCTGCACCCTAAGCCTAGACAAAAGCCTATATAAACCCCAAACCCAAGAACCCGGAGAGAACGCTTAGAGAGCCCTTACCTAACCCTGAGAGAACGCTTACAGAACCCTGTGCTTAGCATGTCCCGCAAGGCTCATGGCAGTCGGCTCCGAAGGAAGTGAAGAAGCTTGCAGATGGGCAGGACTGATATGTCATGTAGTAATTAGATCTGTAGTAGTTTCAGAAGGTTTGAGAGGGGCTGCAAGAGGTTTGTGTGCAACAAGCCTAGGCCTCAAATGGACTTGCAGGTTTGTTTCTATAAGAAAGTTGTGCTTAAGAGAGGGGACATACAAATTGTAGTAAGGGTGGTTCTTTTGGAAGGGTGGGTCGGTACATTCACATTGTATGCAGAAAAATATATTCAGGTAAAGCCTAAGACGGGAGAGCCCAGCACAGACTCATGGCGGCTTTCCAGTCAGTGGCTTATATAAGCTTCACGATCCAGGGCTGTAGGTTTGTAGATTTCAGAGGATGAGCTTTATGGTATAGCGGTTTATAAGGTTTAAACCACTATCCTGAAGCGCCCCTGGAACATACAGGTTTATAGACAAGCCTGAATAAATCATCTGTGGGGTTCCTTGGGGTTTATAAAACTCCTTGTTCTACCTATAGTATGATATAGACCATAGCCGAATTCAGACTACTATTAATTTTGGTTAAATATAATTACGATGGTTATTATTGCCAATATTACAACCCTGAATACTTGATTGTCATGGTGTCTAGAGTAAGCTCCAAGCTCCCTTCTTCCCAACTTTGAGAGCCGCCAGTCCTCCCACCGTGGCTTCAACACTCCGAAACCAAAGTACGAGCACGGGTTTAGGGTTTAGACTGCCAGGTTTAGGCTTTAGGGTTCTAATAGAAGGCATGTGCAGTCTTCTTGTGGGGCCGACAGTTTCCAGGTTCAAGCTCGAGGGCAACCCCAAGCGCTGAACCCTTAGCAGGCAACTCTAAAACCTTATAGTAAGTCCTTGAACACTTAGACCGCTGAATCAAGTCCTACTCTGTGTGCGGAGTGAGAAAGAGTCATTGCACTTCAAAAAAACAAACCGCTGAATGTTAAAAATGAACGTCTCCGATGCCACAAGTCTTTCTGAGCGTCTAAAGCAGCTCAGGGCCAGAGTTGAGATTTTGGATAGCCCCAAAGCTGATGATGACTTTCTCAGCAGGTTTAGGGTTGAGGTTTAGGGTTTAGAGCCTGGGGCCTTCGGTGCCGAAATGGAAAGGGTTTGAGGCAGATTGGGGCGAGCTCTGGGGCGAATTGCGGGGTTCCGGGGCGAGTTGCGCGGCGGGTTCCGGGCGGTTGAGCCCTAAACCCTAAACCTAAACCGTAACCCCTAAACCGTTCAATGGGTTCTTGATTTGAAGTAAGGGCCCGGGTTTTGTAGCTTTGGAGGGTATTGCATTCCTGGGCTTAGGGTTTCAGGGGTGTTTATATACTACTTGAAGTTACACTGTGCGTGAAAGGGTTCTATATATATATATATATATATGGTACCCCCCCCCCCCCCCCCAAAGATCTATGTTTTTCCTCTTCGTTAGCTCCCTTTGCATGCCGACATCTCCTCACGACCACTTTTCCACTCCCATGTTTCGGATCATCTCAGCAGCACCGCACGAACCGACCACATTGAAACCCAATGCGGCCCAATATGTCAATATGACCTCGGGGAGGTCCGTATTGAAATATTGTTCACGAAGAAACGCCAAGAGTAAGCGTCTCGTGTGAGCCATGCTTCCTTTCAATCGCCTGCTTGTTCCGGACATGTCTGCAGCGAGAATAGTGGCCCCTCCACCGATACCGGCCCCTCCACCGAAGAGAGCAATCGGAGTGGTTGTAGCTCCACCCAAGCAAGCGACTGGAGTGATGGTAGCGCCACCAAAGCGAGCCAGTGCAGCACCTGTGGGCATAGTGAAAGCCTTTCCTCCATGTCCCCCTCCGAAGCCACCATCTATGAAGCCCAGAGTGATAACACGTTCGAGTCCTTCTTCTCCGCCTCCGAAGCCGCCTCCTATGAGTCCTACAGGGAGAGCACGTTCAAGATCTCCGCCTCCGAAGCCGCCTCCTATGAAGCCTCGTGAACCAGATCATCCGCCCATGCGAGAAGCGTTTGTGTACTCGGCATCATGGTGGTCATCTTCGTGGGACTACAGACGCGCTGAATGTGATGGCAAAACGACCGTGTATGCCGACTTCCGCGGCGTCACCAACCCTCAGCACAAAAAGGCTTTGCGAGGACACATTGGCTGGAATGGCGATATCCTTGTGGAGCTGCTGCGTGTTGATAAATTCCGAGATATGTTGGCCCGCATCGTCTCACTTGCTTGGTCTCACCGTGTTGTACATATCGTCATGTATTGTCGAGCCGGCAAACACAGGAGTGTGGCCGCAGCATGTTTGATGCAGGATCTGTTGCTCATGATCAGCCCAAATATCGGATAGCTCAGAACGGGGGGGGTTGGCTAGGGGGGGGGTACAGGGCAGCGGCATGAAGGCGACAGGTTCAGGTGTGCAGATAGTTCTTGCATAGGTCTGCGTGCGATAACTGTGTGTAAGAATATGTCCATGCAGCCAGTGTGTCGTGAAAGTAAAAGTCATGTTTTTCTTGCCGCTCATATCTGTCCTGACTCGCCCGTTCTTGGTGGATGTGCTCAGAGCACGGGGCGACATCAATGTTGGGCAGCTGGGATCTTGCTGGGTGTCTTTATTTACAATGCGGCCTTGGCCACTATGATGGAACCTGGCTTGGCATGGAATGCAAGGTGCAGACTTGCAGACACAGGCTAAAATGCAGCCGAACCACGGCCGGTACAATTTGTATTGGCGCACCAAAATGCCGATACAACTGCCGAGGCAGATGTATCGGAAACCGACAAAAATGATACATGTATTGAAACCCCACGATTTCAATACACATGGCTGCCAGATCACGATTACAAGAAGCAAACGCATGTATCGGACGCGCGCGGACGCGATACAATGCCCTTCCAGGGTCGCGAGGGCGTTCACAAATGTCAAGCGGCGTCGCGTGACAAGATGTCGTGCTTTGCGCAGCGGCAAGGCGTTTTAATACACCCGCCGCAAATCCTCAGTCGCAGAACTTGAATCACACCGACCCTCCAAGTTGGTTTCCGTTCTCTGTACTTGAGTAGACAATTCAAGCACAGTTGTAGGTATAGGTGCGGATTGAATCTGCAGATGACAGGGAGCCTTTGAAGAGATGGAATTTCTTGATTTCAGAAGTCTCGCTTGGAAACCGTGGTGCTGCAGAACTGGTGATAGCCAACAACCTTCCTACCCGAGCTTTCTGTCCCATATTGAACTTTGAACATTTACCGTGGACTTGGCATCGTCACAGACTTGTTTGCAAGCCGTCACAGAGTGGAATATGCTGCTGGCCAAACCCCCCCCAGTGAACCCCACCGTCTTGAGCTGTCCAAAAATATGTCTGTCGTGACGGAACACCTAGAGAAGAGCACATGGGGCAAAAGCACTTGTAGAGGCCAGTGCGACGAATGTATGTTGAAGAAGAATGCAGACGAAATTCGAGACTGGACGCAAGACGTCTTGAACATGCTTCCGTATGTAGAAGAGGTGCCGGAGGTCTGGCTTGGATGATGCAGTGCGCGAGCGGTTAAAACAACACAGAGTGCCGAGGTTAGGAGTCGTGGTTGTACTTTAACCTCCCCCCCAGTATAGCATCATGCGCATCAGCTTGTGCAAACCCCTTAACATGCTCCTAGCACCCCTATCCGAGGTACCTTGGTGCGCCTGCGGCAATAGTTAGCATAGTTACTTTGGTTTTGGTGGGTTGTTGTCGCTGTAGACAAGGTTGAAAGGGTGCTAGGCAATACTTAGCATGCTTAGTTTGGGTTTATTGGGTTGATATAATTGCAGGCAGGGAGCGTTAGGCAATACTTAGCATGCTTAGTTTGGGTTTAATGGGTTGATGTAATTGCAGGCAGGGAGCGTTAGGCAATACTTAGCATGCTTAGTTTGGGTTTATTGGGTTGATGTAATTGCAGGCAGGGAGCGTTAGGCAATACTTAGCATGCTTAGTTTGGGTTTAATTGCAGGCAGGGAGCGTTAGGCAATACTTAGCATGCTTAGTTTGGGTTTTTTGGGTTGATATAATTGCAGGCAGGGAGTGTTATGCAATACTTAGCATGCTTAGTTTGGGTTTAACGGGTTGATAGCATGCTTAGTTTGGGTTTTTTGGGTTGATGTTTATGTAGGTTGTTGTAGACAAGGGCTGTTAGGCAATACTTAACATGATTAGTTTGCTTTAGACGGGTTTATGTCTTTGCAGATGATTTGAAGGGAGCTTACGAAGAGAAAAACATAGATCTTTTGGGGGGGGGGGGTAGCTATATGGTATATACATATTCTCATATTTATTTTTTTATGATATATGGAAGCCCAATGGGTTTTCTGAAGTTCCAAAACCGTGCGTGTGTCTGCAGGGTTGTGAATGTGAGTCATGCGCCAGCCCGTCCCCATGGCAGGATATGAAGATCTGGCAAAACAGCTCCGTTTGCAAAGGGCGCGAGGCGTGCTGCAGGGTATTTGGTGATCGGCTTGGCATAAAGGAGAAGTCAGCTGTCTCGACAATTTTCAACCACGAACACTGCCAACCACCACGACTGCTGGTCCTGCTGGTTTGCATGCATTACTACTGCTAGTGCCGTTTTGAATCATCATGCTCATCATCCTGTGCGTCGTCAGCACAAGCACCAGCACTCACCAGCACCGCCATCACTATTCAGCCGCCATGAGATGTGTCACGTGGGCGTATTCTGCATGCCTGGAAGGCAGGATGCCCCAAGCTTCATATCCGCTTCGTAAAACTCTGACGGTGCTTTGATTTGTGAGTTTTGTCAACTGTAATCTTAATTGAGACGTTCCGGTTTGTGCGATTTCACGTGCTGATGAGGCTCGAGATGCAGCTCTGAACCCTAAACACCGTCTACGCAAGGTGCCTCTGTTCACCGCCGAATTCGTGGTGGCCGGTGCGGCGCCGCAGGAGGTGCCGGTCTTTCAACATCAAGATGTTTCGACTTTGTCATGTGACAATGTGCGGTAAGGGTTTACGGTTCCAGATAGTCCTGTTAAACATTCAAGAGGAGCCTTTTGCTATATTTCCAGGCACCCCGACGATGTAGGCATGTTTGACATGTAGTACCGACCCCAAAGCTTTGTAGCTCCTTAGTTGGCAGTGATGTCCATCTCGGAGGAAGGTACTGCGCGGAAGTTTGTGCTGGTTTTGTAGGATGTTGGGTATTGCACTGTGTGTTCCTGCCAGGTGGGGAATCCCGGAAAGCAACACCCTAAACCCTAAGCCCTTATAAACCCTAATCCCTAAACCCAGTGTCTAGTCACTTGTTTGGGCTCCTACTATGGCTCCCGAATTTTGGACTTTTCGGATTGATCCCGAGACACCATGCAGGTCTTCAACGCCATCGCATCCAAGCAGCAGGAGGTCCGCGTGATGCCTGTGTTAAGGGTGCCGCTACAAGGCTTCAACAGGCACCGAATCATGTAGGAACCTGATTAAGAAACCCTGGGCCTACAACCCCAAAACAGTAGGATTCATACAAAGAACCCTTTATCAAGGCCCAAGGTTTCTTAATCAGGTTCCTACATTAGTAGTTTACTCGAGTGAAACTTCTAGCAGTCGCTTGGAACATACCCCCCGAGATGGGGCACATACCAGGCCGAAGCCCAAAACATCCGAAACTCATGCCAAAGCCCATAAGCCTGCATCCCTGAGCACGAAAATCATCGAGCACCCCAACTCCGGACTCCGGCAGGCCTCATTGGGTGTTCATACAATTGGAAGCTTTCTGAATTCCGAGACCCACATGGCATGAGCCGCACACCAGGCCGGCTGGAATCCGAACCTGAAGAAAGTGAACATCACTGGCTTCACTCGCGGTGCGCGTGGGGTGCATGAGGAGAGCCCTGGAACTGGCTTCGTGCTTGGACGAAGATTCGGATTCGAGTGAAGTCATTCTCTTAAGACTGTTGGCTATGTTCCTCCAGGCTCATGATCACCACAATCAGCCCCGCTTGACTGCTTTGAGGCTCTGGGTTTCAGGGCCCGGCCTGAGTACGAGCTACGCGCTGCCTTTGTTTCTCCGTTTTTGTGGTTTACTGTCGTGACACAATATACAAAGATACCACTGATACACTCAAGCCCTTGCAGAAGCCAACAAAACCTCAAAATTCTTGCTGCAACCCCAAACCCTGGAAAAGCCTTATGCCCATACATGTAAGTGCAAGACGCTATTAGCGGTTTGAGGCTTTTTTCTCTGAGACCTGAGCCACGGTTAGGAACCACCACGCGAGGGCACAGTGCTCACTTGCAAGCCAAACCTCGCAACCTCAGGGCATAGCGTTTAGAGTACATGCAGGTCATGATTAATTTTAACGCTACGCCGCCCGCCTCGGCTGTGTAGCGGCAGGGCGAGGGGGCAGTCGATGTTTTTTTATGCTAGGGCGGCCTGTCAAACCCCAACCTTTACACGGTTGTTGATACGAAGTGCGAGGAGAATGGGTAGGGGGGGGGGGGGGGGGGGGGGGGGGGGAGGGGGGGGGGGTGGGGGGGTGGGGGTGGGGGGGGGTGGGGGGATGAGCGGGGTCGGGGTGTGGGAGCGGGCGGGAGGGGGGGGAGGGAAGGGGGAGGGGCCTGTGAGGGAGAGGCAGGCCCACAAATCAGGTAAAATGAAGGGAAGCCGGGCAAGGGGGTGGCAAACGAACGCAAAAAACGGGTGTCCCCAAAAATTTGGAATGGAGGGAGGAGGATTAGGTGGAGGGTACCTGAGCTAACCCCCAAGACGCCTGGGCCTGTGGCCTCGGCGGATTTTTAACGTTTTTTCTGGGCGAGTCTCTATATGGTTCTTCCAAATTGACCCCACGCAACCCGAGTCGGACCCGACAGAGCTCTCGGGCTCCACGTTCCGACCCCATAGCCCGAAAAGTAAATCCTAAACCCCCAAAGCCAGACTCCCAAAACGTCCCACATGAGCCCTGAGTCCACATAGCATGGAATTTCACAACTTGAAGCACGCAATGGTTTTGAAACCCCAAACCCTACGTAAAGCCTAAACCGTTCCTGTTTCTTAGGAGTTTTCCACTCCCAGCCTCTTGGGCTTGCGCCTCTCCCCGCGAGAGCTTTGGGAGTGGCAGGTGCGTCGATTCAGTTTTGGCTGATCCTGTGGAAAAGGTTCAGGGAAGTAGGTACCGGTAGTTTAGTATTAGATGCCCGGGGTCTTCATCGCGAGAGTGCCAGTATCAGAGCTGCAAACCGCTTCATCAACCCAAACTCGTCGTTGCCACTTCGGGGGGGGGAAGGCTGAGTTTCAGGGGTGTGTAAACCAAATCGAGATACCCAGCCAACCAGAAACCCTGAGGCTGAGATTCAATTGGACGGCTTAGCTTCGAAACAGTAGCCACTGTAGGGTTTAGGGGTTTGGGTTTAGGGTTTAGGGGTTTGAGGGTGTATGCGGTTTAGGGCACTGAAACGTAAATCGTGACTAAGGCTGTGCCGTGGGCTTCGCTGTCTGCTGGGATCTATGCATGAATCTACAAGGACTCCCCCTCCCCCCACACGCACGCGAACCGTTCAAGATCAGTTTATAGACATCTCGAAGCACTTCTACTAAAGCGTGGCTCATCACATGTGGCCAGCTGGCACTTTTGGATACAGCTTAGTTCCTCTACCATGTATCGGCTTGTGACAGTGCTTATTCATACAGTTTGGGGGATGCTTTAACTACATCCCTGCTCCAGACATCCAAACAGATCGCGCCTGGAAGGTCCTAAGCCCCATAAACCCTAAACCCTAAACCCTATTCCCTTCGGGGATCATCCGATAAACTTGGAGCGCAAGGATGACACGCACAAATCGAGATGTGTAAAAACCAAGAAACCCTATAAACCCTAAACCCTGGAAGGCGGCGAACCACACGCTGGGCAGCGAAGAGTATGTGATCGCCCTGAACTCCGATTCGGAGCGCTTGCTGGGGCGTCGATTCGAGCCTGAAGCCTGAACCCGATGCCTTAAAGCCCTTGCAAGCGTTATACGCCTCAAGTCTTACAATCATTGAGAAGAACTTATATAAACTCAACAGAAGAACATATATACAAACTCAACAGTAATATGGGCCCCAAACCATGAACCGTTTACCTCTGCTGGTTTTTAGGGCTTTGGGGCATTGCGAAACCCTAGCATAGAGGTCATACCCCAAAGGTTCCAGAGACTCTTGTCTTGGACCCTGCAAAAGCTGTGTCATGCATGGGAAGCCCCTTGTAAGGCAAATTGACAGGAACCGCCTATTAGGGACTTGCTGGAGGAGCCTGCGACGACCTAGAATCAATTGTAATAAGATTCCAAGCCCTACCGCCTCAAAGTGCCCGCAATGCCACTTCCAGGTTCAGTGGTTAGTGTTGGCAATTCCTTTTCCAGCTCCCTAAACCTTTAATCCTGGTTCAAAACCCAAACTTTACGCCCTGAGCCCTAAACCTTGAATCTCTGAGTACCTTGAAGGCTTTTTGCTGATAGAGTAAAGCCCCCAAAACGGAGAAAGGACAAATAGTGCTGGGGTTCCCTATACATCACAATTAAAGACTTGAGGCTATTGAGTTTCCAACTTTCGGGCTTTTGCTGACAAGAGCAGGATCCTTTCTCGGCTGCCTTCGGAGACAAGGTCTGGGCCGCGGCTCCTAAGATCCTATAGCCTTTGGGCTTTGCCTCTAGTCTCCATTGTAGTTCCTTTTTGAGGTTACCTTAGGTTTGAAGGATCCTATAGCCTTTGGGCTTTGCCTCTAGTCTCCCTTTTTGAGGTTACGTTAGGTTTATAGGATCCCAAAGCCTTTGGGCTTTACCTATAGTCTCCATTGTAGTTCCTTTTTGGGATTTGCCTTATTATAAGATCCTAAATATCTAATCGGTGAAACCAAAGAAGGAACTACGATGGAGACTGTAGGTAGGGTTTAGTAGGTAAGGCTAAGTAGGGGTTTAGGGGTTTCTGTCGGCTCAGGCGTTGGAGGTTGAGTGTTTTTTGGAGTTGAGCGCTGTGCTGCTTAGAGCTTTTGGATGAGGGGTGTTTCGGGTTTAGGTTTGGTAGAGGTGTTGGGAAGCGCCATTGACTGGAAGCTGTGTTCCCTGTAGACTCCTTACTTAGCATAACGCGTGCCATGCACTCGAGAGTCTTTGGGCGGAGTTCGTTTCTTTAAGCTGGTTAGAACTTTGTGCCGTTTGCGTGACTTTGGGTCCGTATCAGGATCTTTATAGCTTGCAGAACCTGCAGACTGGTACAGCGTTGTTTCAATGGCGAAGCGCTCCTAGAATTCGGGTGGCGGGCTTTTGCAACCCTCTAGTTCATGGTTTAGGTTTCTCTTCTTGGATGTTGGGTAGAGGAAGTCTCGAGGCTGTGCTGTGCTTTCACTTTAGGTCGTACTCTGCTGATGAACAAGAGAAAAGAGACGACATTGAATTATATTGTGGCATCTGTCCCCCTCATCCCCATAGCAGCCTAAAGTTTCAAGCTTGTCTGGCTGGGACATTAACCTAAACCGGCAGGCCGTCGTCGCCACACAGTGCATTGCGGGCTTTCAGGCCTCAGGGTTCCTGTTGTTTGCCTTCAACCCTAGTTGTGGTCGGCTTTCCGGGATGGAGGCTCTAGTGGTTGTGAGGTATTCGTGCTCAGGGGTATAGGGTATAAGCGTCTGGAAAGGTTAAGAGTCTACTAGTTCAGGATGCAGAGATTTCGGGTTTTCGGTTGCATTGGAGGTTGAAGCATATACCCCAAATCCCTAAATCCCACTCTCCATACGGCTTAGTTGCTGGGAGATTTCAACTTAGATATCGGACGCGCCGTAGGATCTGTGCCAGTTTGTAGAGACTGGACTTTAACTTTTGAGGTTCAGAGGTTCATGGTTCAGGGTGTTTCGGGCTGTCTGATCAGCCGGCTGTAAGGTTTGAAGTCTAAGTTGTTCTTTGTCTGGCTCAGGCTTCATTCATGTCCAGATTGACAGAAGGCATTTTGGAAGCATCAGTACATGATTGACGCCCGAAGCCCGGAACCGCCTGACCTCTGACGAAATTTGAGAGGGGTATCGCATGTAGAAGGCCCTAGACTCAGCAAGCCATAAAGCAGGCACGTCAGAGCCGGCTGTCTCCGAGCCTTCACCATTTTGGGGCTTCACGTTTTCTGGGGTTTGGGGTTTACTGGCGGTATAGGGTTCACGTGGAGAGGCTTTAAACTCAGGGTTTAGGCATTCAAGATCCAGCGTTGAGGGAGCCATGGTAATTCAGACTATCAGCGGTGCTCGTTGGTAGGAAACAGTACAAGTTGAACATAAGTGGAAATGGCGACGGCTACAGTATCAACACCAAGACACATAAAAGAGCAATGACAATGATGGCAGTAGTAGACCAACGCTGATACTGACAACACGTTGCCGCGAGCCTTCATCATAGATGTCATCGCTGATTCCAGTCGTTGGTCTTGCTGCTGTTGTTCGGAGTTTCCTCCCCCATGCACGTCCCAGAGTCTATGCACCGAGTACCACCCAATCGAAGGCTCCTCAAAGGCCGATATCAACACGAAGTGAGAGCTTCAAGCTTGAAGCCATAGATTCTCAAACCCTGTATATAACCTGAAGTATATCAGCCGAAAACAATGTCTGATGCCTTGTGCTACCAGGTTTCTCCAGATGGAGCAGGCAGTGGACTTGTGGATGTGTTGGATGTCTGGTTCCATGAAGGGTCTAGGGTACCGTTGAGTTTGGTTGGTTTTGGGCTTATGTCCTAAACCCTAAACCGAGTCTTTTATCATCGCTGTTGGGCATGAGCACAGCTTCCGTCTGCAGCTCTGCGGGTTCGGACATGGGAGCTTGTATGGCAGGGCCGGGCAATCTGCGCCCACCCTACCCATACGCCCCATAGTATATAGTTCCACTTTGGGATGATATGTATATATATATATATATATATTATATATATATATAGGATTCTACATATGAGCCCCAAAACGGAACTACTATGAGGTCTACCGGTAGGTTTAGGGACGAGGGTTTTTGGGTGCCAGGGTTTTCGGGTTGTAGGGATTCGGGTTTAGCCTTAAAAGAGACAATTCCAACACTCTTCGTGCTTTGCGTGCGCATGTTTGTTTAGAAGCTGCCCTGGCACAGGAAATGCGCGAGTCCGCATGGCTCAACATTTGAATCCCAATGCCTGCGACTGAGATGCTGGGTTTCATGTGGCTAGACGCAGGCTTGATGTCTCTCTGAATTCGCGGCTTTTTGGTATTCAGTGGTGAAAGTTCTACGAGGCCAGACATCACAATAACTGGCATCGATGTGCCACAATCTGTTGCAACGACTTCGATTTAGGGAAAAGGGGCTTAATGTCGAGGGTTCCGATTTTAATGTCGTCCACAATGATTACATGAAGGCCACCCTGTAGCCCGATCATACCTCGCTTTCAGAGAGGTGCCGAATCAGCACTCGTGAAGAGCTGCGCCGTAATGCATCTATGTCAAGCTAGAGGGCGAATACTCTACGTACCTTGCAGCCCTTTGCCATGCAAGAGTCTGTTGTCTCATTGTTTGTTTTTGTCTTTGTAGCGCATTTTTTTGTGGATTCAAGGTTACTACTTGCGTGAGTTTGTGCTATGCTCTAAGACTCTAAGACGATCTGGTTCTTCTGGTTTTACTCATGACCATGCTGCTAACGATAATGCATGTGCCATTGAGTTCCTTATACGTCTTGGTTTTCCATATCCTCGCAGCAACCTGGCTTATTTGCTCAAGCATGGGCTTAGACCCTAAACCCTATTTGCTCGAATATGTGTCCTGTAGGAGCCTGTGACTTATTTTGGTTGGCGCAGCTCTAATCTCTAAGTGTGTCCGCGCTATTGCTCGCTTTATTTGTTTTGTCGTGCTGGCATATTGACGCTAATGTGTATTGCTACATTTGTGTAGCTTCTGCGATGGCCCTTGATGCAGTTATACTGCAGCAAACGTGGCTCGGATGATACATGGTTGATCCATGAACGGGATGATGCTGCATTGGGTTTCGATGCTGCCTTTCGATCTCAGCCGATCTCCGTCGAAAGCCTCGGCCAAAGCCAAATCCCACATCCACACGAAACCTCCGACTCGCTGGCCAATGCCTCGAATCTTGAAAACCAGTTTTGTGAGCAACCGTCGACCCTAAGCGCCACAGCAGAAGCCCTAAGCCCTCTGCCCGCCCTGGATTTCAACCCTGAGAAAACTGAGGTTGACCCTAGCTCTTCAAGTGCTGCAGCTTAGGCTTTGGGTTAACCCAGAACCCTAAACTCTAGCGCCTTCTGAAGCAACTATTGCACCTCATCAACATCTTAGAGATTTAGTTGTCCCAGGAAAGACAAGCATCAAATGTTCTCAACAAGCTACGCCTACTTGGAAGAACATCCGTTGTGATGTGTACTAGAAGCGGTACTTAAGAACCTCTAGGTATGCCTCCAGCTAGTGAGGCTCTTGTGCTAGGGTTTTAGGAGTTTTACTGTTGAAGCTGCGTGCTGCACTGTGAGGCCGGAATCGTGGCCAGCTCAGCTATCGGGCTTCTGGAGTTCAGGGCTTGCTTTCACCCTAAGGGTCCATGTACCTACATAGTATATACATTAAGGCCTTAAAGTATAATCCCTGTACAGGTACATGAGGGCCAACGTATATACTATTTGGGTACACGGACCCTTAGGGTTAAGGTTTAGGGAGGATCGTGCTTAAATTTGCAGGGATTTGAGTTTGGGCTTGGTGGGGTGGGTTTGCTGTTCTGACGTTGGTGCGCCATGCTCGACCGTTATTCCTTTACATGACACTAAACCCGACACCTCATGCCTCAGGCCGTAAAAGCTCCACCCGAAAGCCTACGACCGCAACCTTAGATCTTAGACTTTAATGAACCTAGACCATAAACTATAAGCAGTATTGCTTATAGTTCTTCATCTTTCAATCATCTAAGTCTGTGCATCGCCTTACCATAGCCTTCCCTCGACGATGCTTCTTAGTGGGTTTTGGGTTTACCTGCTTATTGTGTTTCATTGTGGCTTTCCGGGTTAGGCTTTTGTGTCCAGGGCTGGAATGTTTGATTTGGGTTTTGGACTATACAATGGGAGCTGACTTGCCTTTTCTGCTTATAGTGGCATAAGCATTTTTGCATAGACATCACTTCGAACTATAAACTCTAAACACCTAAACCCTAAACCCTCAAGGCGTCTCACTTCTCCATCCTCTGGGAGCAGACGGCTCTGTCCATGTTGGCCTCTTGGGCAGAGGAGGTGAGTGTAGAGGCCGAACATGTGATTAGGGGATTTGGGACTCTGGCTTCGTAGGGTTCCCGGTGAAATGGTGACAAAGGGACCTCATAATTTTGGCGAAGTGTTTTGGGATGTGGTAGAAAAATTTGCAACAGGGGACCCTGCAACTGTGAGTGTTAAGGCTCCAATGCTTAGGGAGTGCAACGTATGGTAGAAGCCCAAAAGTTGGAAACCCAATAGCCTCAATCCTTAAGATTAATGTATAGGGAGTCCCAGCACTATTTGGCCTTAATTCGGTTTCCAACTTTATGGAGTTTACTGTAATGGGGCGCAGGAAAGTCCTCCAATGCAGGCACGCAATCTCGTGGCTCAGCGCCATTGCGGCAAAGGCAGGCTGCTGCACTGATTTCTGGCTTCGGCAGAAGAAGAAGAATACTATAGGGGCCTAAAAATAATACTGTTTTGGGGTTCCTTATTGTTGTAGTATAATGGGCCACAAAAACCCTGTTCTACTTATTATAAGGCCCCTATATTATGGACCCGAAGCAGTCCCTCCTTATGCAGGAACTGAAACGTAGGGTGCCCCTAGTTTGAAGAAGCACTCATTTGTTGATATAACCAGTGTAAAAGCTTGAGCAAAAGTAAGTGCTAATGCTATTCCATAGGCTTTCTTTGTAATGAGTATATATATATATACACACATACAACCGCACTATATAACCCCAACACCCTACTCTAATCATTAAGGCCCCTGCCTTACGACCACTTAAGTTAGTCTTCGGACATACATACTCCAGTCATGTAGGATGACGAGGCCCTTTCTGTAATGCTCGGTTTCGGAAGCTTACCCTAGTTTCCTCATCAACGCACAATTAAACCGTGTAAACCATCATAAAAACCAACTTAACCATGTTCACTCATTACCACAATTTAAACCAGTATCAACCCTAAAACCCTGAACCCGCGACTTTTGTCAGCTCTTGTTCTTTACTCTCCCTAAATGCAGGGAGCTGCGCTGTGACCGTCGATGGAGGCGTTTTAGAGCTCCTCCGCCCAAGGCCGCTCCACAGGCAGGAGCTTGCGTCATGAATTAATATAGGAGTTCCCGACATTAGGGATACCTTATTTTGGGGTCCTTATAATAAGGATCCTACTATTCAGGGTATTATATTAGGGTCCCCTATTTTCGGAAACTCCCATATAGGGGCCTCAATATTTACTTGTGCTATTTTGGAGGCTTCTTAAATATCTTTATAGTATCATGGGCACCAAAACCCTGTTCTAATCATTAAGGCCCCCCATGTTACACGTAGTGTCTTCAGATTCAGGTGACGATCGACAGTCTTGCTTGGCTTGATACAGCTTCGAGTTCGGAATTCTGTTTCGGAACTCTGACTTAGTTGGCACTGTTCTCGAGACAATGTGGGACACACTACGGGCTTCCAAGACTAAAGATGCGAGAATGGGTTACGGTGGCCGGGAGGTTGCCCAGGACGCGGCCAGAGCGACGATGACTCCCAATAGGGAGTCAGTATTTCTGCGAAGCCCCGGGTGCTCCTAATCTGCAAGCCAGAGTCCCAAACGCAAAAGAGGTCTTTCGTCCTGCACACAAATGGGACTGCAGTTGTGCAAGTTCAACAGACGAAGGAAACTGTGAAGAGTCCTGATTCTCCGTGGGCGGCTTTGTGTTGGGTTTTTGGCTGAAGAGAGGAGTCTCTCCCCAAAAAATTCTGCCTCGCACAGGAATTCCTCAGCGACGATCGACTGGGTTCTCTCCTTGGCACCGAAGATGCAGGCCTGAAGCAGCCTCAACCCTAACAAGGCCCTAAAGCTCAAAGTAGCCTGCAACAGCTGCATGTGCAGTTTAAGGTTTAGGGTCTAGGGCTAGGGTCTAGCACGATCTTTGAGCGCCAAAAAGCCCTGCAAAACGTACACTCGAGTCCCTAGCCTTGAATATGAGCCTTGAGAATAATAAGTGTTGCAGCTTCCATGATATCCCAGAATCTTAGCGACCTTGAAAACAGAATGATGATGTTAGCAATTGATTATTACTGACAGTAAGTTTGTTAATCATAGTGGTGATACGACGAGTGCTGCCCCTCCAAAATACTTACTACTACTACGGTTGCGACGTCGGCTGCTGCCTAAACCAAGACTCCCTCTCCTCCCCCTTTCCTTCTTCAGGCCTTGCGGCAACATGTCCGCTCCGATTCGGTGCCTCCCTGGCAGCGTGGCTTTGCAGCCTTAGACTTGCCGAAGGCCACGTCAGGGCTTTAGGGGCGGTTATGTTTACTAGGGTGCAAGGTCTGGGTGTTGGGATTCCGGTTTAGGGTTCGGGTTTGGGGTCTGTTTGAGTTTCGGCTTTGTCATGCATTCGAGGATTAAAGGAGTTCCGGCCTTCTCGAGGCATCAGTCAGGCAGTTGTGGGTACATAGGTTTAGGTGTTTAGGGTTTAGGGGTTTAGGGTTTAGGGGTTTAGGGTTTAGGGGTTTAGGGTTTGGGGTTTAGGGTATTAGGGTTTTTTTGAGAAGGGCTTGGCAAGGGCCTCTGGATACATTCGCGAAAGGTTGAGCATTGTTTTCGAGGCCCTTAAGGTTCCATGTAGGTATTCTGGCCAGAAGGCACATACAGGAAATCGTGTACGCATGGACTCTCTACCACAAGCCCAAAACCCATGTGGCGCCGCTGTAGAACCTGTATAGTATCCTTTCAATGGCCTTGGAAGACTTATGTAAGAGAACAAGTCGTTCTGATGCCCCATAGCTTTTGCAACCGAAAGCTTCAGACACAAGAAAGATGCCAACAACCAAAAAAATGGCACCACCCACATGCCAAACCCTCTCCGTGCAAAAAACTGGGAAGCCCCAGAAGTCTCCAAGGTACCATCTGACCGACTCACCCCGAAGCCTTCTGCCCTACATAGAACCCACAAAAAGCCGAACTCAAGGCACTAATGCCCAGCACCCGAAAATCCTGATGCCCTAACCTCAAAAAGCGCAAATTAAAAAGCAACAGAGCACCAACCTGCACATAAATCCGTTTAGATCCCCAAAGCTTAAATCTCTCACCCACACACCTGCAAAACCCTCCTAAACCCTAAACCCTAAACCTTTAGGGTTTAGGGTTTAGGGCCGCGAAACCCTCAGGCCCTCAAGAGCGCCAGGTGCTCAACGTCTCGGCCTGGCCAGACGGAGAATTCGAGTCGCAGGCTGAGCAGGCTCTGGGATTTAACAAATGGGTGGAAGGCAAAATTCGGGTCCCTTTTTGGGTCCCTAATATGGTACGGCACCTATTATTTAGGGTACCCAAAAAGGGACCATAATTTTAACGACCACCCGAATGTTGTGGGGTTCACTGGTTCTGAGGCTTACAGGGTTGAGGGGCCTAGAGAAGGGTTTAGTGGGTTCGAATTGAACATTTGGTAGTGGTGTGCCCTCAGAATCCCGATCTTACTGTACCCCTTTCAATAAAGGCCCCGATACTATACAAATAGGTGCATAGAAGGAGTGGTGATTCCATGCTCTGGGTGGCAGGTTCTTGCCCTGTACCGCCTTGTGCAGCACAACGCCACCGAGGCCGCTGGTGATGCAAGCTCGGTTGTCTGTAAGACTTACTACTGTATTTACGTTCCGAGGGTTGTGGGTTTTTCTTGACAGTGTGGCTGCAGTTTTGACTCAGGGCACGACGATCGGATTCAGGAACGATTAGTGAGTAGGGTCAAAGCAGCAGGATTTCTTTTTAGGGTTTAGGGTTTTAGGGTTTTGGGTTTTGGGTGTTCTCCCGATGCTGTGGCATTTGATATAGTGCCATCGGATTCTGCTTGAAGCCAGACCGCTGGCTACATCAACCGGTCGTTATCGTCATCACCACCACCACCATCATCATCCGCGTCATCGTCACACTAGCCAATCATCAAGCTTGTCATGGGCTATATAATGGTTATAAAATAGCTATATTAAGGGTATATACCTGGGGGTCCTTATCAAGGGTCCCTCCTTTTACCCTTGGATTGTCCGTTTCACTACCCAACCCCATTCAGACCATGGTCGCGTCATGTCCATTGGTCTGCTGCCATGGCGCTCAGAGTAGTTTTGCCCTTGACAGTGGTACTGAGCTCATCTTGACCACAGTCATCAACATTACCACTGCCATCATCATCATCATCATCATGATCACCGTTGTTCGGAGCATCCTCCGACAGGCAGAGAATGCTACCTTTGCTGCTGGACGCGCGAAGGATGCCCTGGTGGTGCAAAGCCAGGGGGAGGTGGGCGGTACAGTAGCGCACAGTTCAGGAATATGATATCGGAACCATAGCCAACATGTCATTATAGCCCCGTTTGTACGTAACACCATAGTTTACCATCCACAAAGGCCACTATTTTGGAGATTCTATGCGTCAGTTAATTGCCAATCCTCAGACACACAGCATGATAGTTTCGGTGCTCATTTTGCAGGCCCTGGCGGGTCTCCAGTGGAGATACATGGAGGCCGTTTCGGGGGACCGCTCAAGGTTTGGGTCTTAGATTGGGGCTTACGCATTAGGAGTTTATGTCTGTTCAGAGTCGTGAGACTGGGAGTTTCCAGTTTGCAGTTTGGCTTGAGCAAAAGATGTTTTCGTATATTTTGGGTTCTTTTTACATGAAGCTCCTGAAGTAATGTAACATAGGGGTCGGAGAAGTTATTCCCAAAATCCCCTTGCAGCCATGTTGTAATCATCAAAGCTCCTAGATCAGGCGATGAGCTCCAATGCACGTGAGTTAGAGGACAGGTTGACTTTACTGCAGGACTTCGATCTCTTGTCCATCCCAGACGGAAACCCTGAACCCTAAACCCTAAACTGTACACCCAGAACCCCCAGCCCAACGCTTCCCAACTCCTGAACTCGCGATAGAAGCACTTCTGCCCGAGCACCCTTTCTGGGCTTTGCTTCGATGTCGTCTTTTAATTTCATGTATTGCTGTCATGTGTATACATCCAAGGAGGTAGTTGACATTTGTCCTCAGCTGAAGAAAGAGCAATTTGTAGGTTCGAAGGTAGCCCAAGAGGCTGCAGGCAGGCTAGATGCATTGTGCTTGCACCGTACGATTGCTTGAGAGTCCCATCCGAGACCCATAAACACTCAAGCCTTTGAACCTACGCTCCTAAACCCACACACTCGTGTCTTTACACCGGAACCGTCGGCTCGGACCTCAGCAGACCAATCCCTAAACCCCAATCTCGAAAGCGCCCTAAACCCCAAACCCGGTTCTCAGGGCATCGCGCAGGCAGACTGCGACTCGAACTTGCCAGACATCAACGGGGACCATGCTTTAGGGTTCAGGGTTTGGGGTGTGGATGGTGTGGAGTTGGGCCGAAGCGCGATCGCAGCGTCTGTTTGTATACATTGATCTTTATTCAGGAATTGTTTACTTGATGTTTTCTGGCTGTTGCGACGGTACGAACAGGCTGCGCTGACTGCTGAATGGTCCGTCATACGTTTCATCCATCACTGTGATGTGTTGCTCCTTCAAGCTCACTGAACGATACCGTACGTATATGTAAGCAAATAAGTGGTCAAATTCATAGCTATAAGTATTGAGTTCAAGTATAGCTAAGCTTACGTACAGAAGTGAAATGTATGTGTATATATATATATATACACACATGTATGTATGTATGTATGTATGTATGTATGTATGTATGTATGTAGGTACGTAATGGATGTCTGTCCGTCGGTTTGTCTGTCTGTTTGTATGTATGCATGTATGTATATGCATCTGGGGATAGGGAGAAAGCGACTGTCCATTCATTCAAACTTTCGTTCATTGATTCACTGATTAATTCACCCAGTGCTTCATTCTTACATACGTACATACAAATACATACATGCGCTTATACCTTTTTACATACATGCATGCATACATTGTTTATATATATATATATACACATATGTGTATGCATATATGTATACACAAACACATACACATGTAACCATGCATACACTCCTGTCCGTCTGTCTGTCTGCATGGATGGATGAATGGATGGATCGATGGATGGGTATAGATGTATATATATATATATACATGTGTGTATGCACATGGATGTATCATATGTACACTGCACATGTATACATGGACAGCGAACTGTTTCTCTCCCTCTCCTTCTCATTCCGCTGGCTTTCCCCTTCCTGCCCAACACGTTGAAGGACAAGGGCCATCGAGCTCTACCTTTTTGGGCCTTGGTGGTCGCTGCCGTGGTGCTTCGGACAGCAGCTATGCAGGGTTCAGAGTTGAGTGTTTTGTAGTATCCGTAGCATCTTGTAGCTGTCGTTCGTAGTATCAGAGTATCAGTAGCAGCAGCTGGTCACTTGTGAGGGTAACGTGGCTTTCTATCATTCATGGACCCACTGCCAAAATCCCTTGCATACCTCTCATTACCTGCCTGCTTGAACTCCGTGCTGTCTTTCTCATCCTGTCATTCATGCGTTCTCTCGTTCATGTGTTTTGACAGGGTGCTTTGCATGACGCTTGTCCCATAGGAGTAAGTCGCTTACATTCAGACCTTCAGAATTGGCCTCGCCTCCCGCCCCATTAGAAATGAGAAGTCTATAGTCTAGAGTCTGTAGTGTTTCCCAAGCTATGAGTGAGTTTCTTACTTGTTGACCGGTTACGTTGGCCAAAAGTGGGCTGCATGGAGCCTTGCAATGATGAGGCGCTGTTGGCACTACTGGCCGCTGGCATCAGTGCCCAACTCGGTGTTGTTTTTGCCACGTTTTTGAAGCTGGCAGTGGGGAATATATGTATATATATATATATACACACACACTGTTAGGGTTGTTAGGGGTTCAGGAATTCAGCAAGGGACTTGCTGGAAAGTTGCATGTTGTATCCGTGATTTCGAGAATTTTTCGGCCTGCACCATGATCAGAGCGCGCGCCGCCCTTGCAGGACTTCGTCTAGAAATGCATCCTCGCCCAACATTTCCTTAGGTTTGAAGAGGGCTTTCTCTTGCAAAATAAAGTTCAAGGGGGGGTCAGGTGTCTCTTCAGGAAGGGAGACATGCAAATCTGCTGGACGGATGTTCGGGTCGTGCGAACGTCTCAGCACGGCATGTGGTTTCGACTCCTGCATGCTACAGTAGCGGCGGGATGTTGACCCATTTTCTCTACCTCTGGACGAAGCTCCAGCCTGCCGCAATTTGCCCAAGAGCCCTAAGTAAGACTCAAGTTTGCAAAGTTGAGCAGCACCCAGGACCTTCTTCGGTATAATGCCCCACCTCAAACCTTATACTAAATTCCCCAAATTTATAATCAAGTATAGCTGAAACCCAATGCCCCATACGCATCATCGAACCTTAAACCCAATGCCCAATCGCCAGAGATGTATCGTGAAACCTCAATCTCTAAGGGTCCACGTATCAAAGTAGTATATAAAATGGCCCCCATGTACCTATATAGGGACTAGTTTAAGGCCAATGTATATACTATTTAGGTACATGGACCCTTAAGGGAAACACCAATTCCCAAGATCATCAGGCTGCTGCTGCGTCCGATTTTGCCGACTCCGGCGAGAAAGGCTGGACTTACCTTGGGTTAGTAGGGAATGGAAGAATGGGGTACCATTGTAACTACTTCCATTCCCTACTAGCCAAAGGTCAGAGGCTGGAGGGCCGAGGAAGTGTTGGAATCCCGTTTCGAAGTTCACAAGGTCACGAGCAAGGACAAGCAACAAGTATAACCAAAATGCCAAGCGAAGGGGACAGAAGAACACTCAAGTAATCGAGCCGTAAATCTAATCCCTCAACCCCTATCAGTTGTCACCTGGCCCAAGCTGGCTTGCAAAAATCTGGGTCTGGAGTTGAACAGCTTCTGGTTTGAAATTTGAAAAGAGCGCTTGCGATGTAGCTTGGACATGGAAGCTCCAAGATTCAAACAGCACGACCAATGAAATCAGGGCCATAAGATATGCAACCCAGAAGCACTAAGTCATGAACCCAAGCCCTAAACCTGAGGACCTGTGCCGATAAAGAGCTTCTCGAATAAGTAGAAAGCGTACTGGGCCCTTATGGTTCACTATTTCGTTTGGTAGTGAAGGCCCGCAAACTCTACTTGGAGTTCATGGGTAGCTACAAGTATATAAGGTTATAAGTTATAAGTAGGGTATCTATACTTATAACCCCACTTATAACTACCCATGAACCTCCAAGTAGTCTACTTGTTTTTGCCCTCATGTTAGTTTTCAGGGTTTGGTTCCTACCTGGGAGTCCCGAAACCTCGCGAACAACAGCCATAAAATACCTCTAACCAAAATTAAAATCACAGTACTCACTATAAGCCGAGACAGATCTTAATCATAGTCTGAAATTCCGTATTCATAAACAGACAGTGATAGTGATGTTACTGACGGTAACAGTGCGCGCGAAGGCGTGCACGGCAAGCAGCCTCGCTCTTGCTTTCCACCGCCTCGATGTCGAGCGCGGCAGCGAGCGAAAGGCAGACTAAGGTTGCGGGTTTACCTTAACCCTGAATAACCTACCTTTTTAGGGTTCCTTATTATGATTTCCTTATATAAGTCCTTAAAAAGGTAGGTTATTCCGGGTTGAGGTAGCGTTTACGGGGGTGGGTTCGAGTTCAGGGTTAACGTGGTCCCTAAAGAATGAGCGCTGACATTATGTCCAAGCAGTTCAATGTTTTGCATTTGGGGAGAGGCAGCAATGTAGCACGGATTGTACCTGCGGTTAGGGAAGCCCAGCGCAACACATAGACGGCAGCGAATCCAGGGCGAAATTGCAGCTAGATGGCTGAACCTCAGAACCGCGATGTGGCACACTCACAACGCCATGCAATCAACCTGCAAGCCGTAGCCGCACATGTGCGAGCACGTGGACAGGCGGCATAAACGAATTCGGCACACCAAGGTATCGAAACGAAGGGACCCGGAAAGTAGTTGCAAGTGTCGTAGTGAATGCTGCTGCTCGAAAGTATGTCATTCACCGTCGACGGCCGGATCTGTTGCCAACGGTTTGTGCATGGACATGGGTAGTTCCCGAAAGTCAGCGTCCCTGCTTAGGCCTCCAACATAGTACGGCACCCCTATAAAAAGGACCGGAAAATGGACCCTAATTTAGAGAGCTACCCACATGTTTGGCTCAAGGCTTTAGATATTTCCCAGTCTGCTAAACTTAATTCTGGGTTCTCTGAAACACCATATATTGGTTTTTGATTACCAGCTGAAGCTCCTACTTGATGTCGAGGTGCTACCATGATGCATCTTGAGTGGGTTACGCGCTTCGGGGCCTTCACGATTGCGGAAAGAAGAGCCTGTATGTGCTCCAATGATGTGCTCCAATGTGCTTGCAATATATATATATATATATATATGTATAATTTATTGATATATATATATATATATATATAGATAGATACACACACACACACATATATATATATATATATATATATATATACATGCATGTTTATATACCACAATGTATACATATAGTTGTGTGTGTACACATACATACATGCATGTATACATACATGCATAATTACATACATACATACCTACATACATGCATGCTGCATACATACATATACAAACTTATCAATAATTTAAAACATGTACTTACAGCATCTGGTCTGGAGTTATAGATACCTATATATATATATGTGTGTGTACTTACATACACAATAGGAACACGCATGCATGTGGAAATGCACAACGTGTATCATGGTTACAATAAATTTCGTATGTATAATATGTACAATATGTGTATGTGAATGTATGCACACATACGTAATGTGTCTGTGTGTGTGTGTGTGTTTGTGTCTGTCTGTGCATGCGTGCCTCTGCTGTGTGTGTCTCTGTGTGTGCGTGTGTGTCTGTATTCATGATTCCGATGTTGCCAGGGACCGGGGATCATTGCCAAAGCCGCTGCTGCGAGCTTCAGAGGCCGGTGTTGGTCGAGATGCAGCAACAAGCGCAGCTGACCCAAGAATGAAGGTAGCAAGAAGGTCATGAAAACCAGTGACAGTCCAAACAAAACACGCGACTGTTGAAGGCTTAAGCGTATGCCAAGAGTTCTGAGTACTGCGGCTAGCATAGCACCTTGGACGCAGGAGTTGCATGTAGAAGTATGGGTAGCAACGGCAGTATAGTAGCTGCTGCAGCGCTAGTGATCGCAGCGGCCAGAATAGGGTCAATGGTAGCAGCTGCAGCAGTAGCAGTAGCAGTAGCAGTAGCAGTAGCAGTAACAGTAGCAGCAGCAGTAGTAGTAGCAGTACTACTACTACTACTACTACTACTACTACTGCTACTACTACTATCACTACTACTACTACTACTACTACTACTACTACTACTACTACTACTACTACTAGTAGTAGTAGTAGTAGTAGTAGTAGTAGTAGTAGTAGTAGTAGTAGTAGTAGTAGTAGTAGTAGTAGTAGTAGTAGTACTAGTAGTAGTAGCAGTAGTAGTAGTAGTAGTAGTAGTAGTAGTAGTAGTAGTAGTGGTATTAGTGGTGGTAGTGGTAGCAAGAGAAAGATGAAGAGTCAGAGTAAAAGTAGCAGCAGTAGGAGCCGTAGAATGGAGAGTAACAGCAAAGTGGTAAATATCTCCGAATTCAACAGTGTGTGCGGTCCAGGGTCTGAAGCCGTGAAACCCGTCGTCAGCAGAGGTCCCAGGTCTGTGCAGGTTGTCAGCAGCTTCGTCTAGGCCTCAGAATTGAGCCGAAAACTCTAGATCTCAGTTCATATACTCTGAAGTCCTAAACCCGAGCCCTTGATGCATCCGCAACTGTGCGACGGTGTCTTGCATTGCTGCTGGTTGATGCATTCCGAACGTCAGTTGTTGCGTTGCATCTTCAGGGTCCCGTCTGAAAAGCAGTCCTGCGCAAGGGTTGAGATGTGGATTTCTGGAGTTCCAAGATAGCCACGACTTGCTGGCAGGCGAGCACGGCATCCTCGAATCAGAATTTGGCGGCAAGGGTGACATCATCGTATTGACCGCGGAAGGAGCTTTGATGAGCATGCAGTAGATTCGAAAGGCCAGAACTCTACACCCAAGAGTGTTCTTCCACATTCAGATCCCACCATGGTGTCAGAACCCAGCTGTGATCAGCATCATACAAGGGACGCTGCAGAGCTGCTGTTTGCACATGGTGGGTGTAGGAGGTGGGCGTTGAGGCCGAGGCTAACGAGAGATTTCTGCAACGAGCACTGCAGGACGTCGACAACTTGGGCAACGCTGTCGGCGAGTCATGTCTCGTAGGATTCTGTATGATACGGCACCCAGTGCATGCAGCTCGAACTAGTCGTTTAAGGCCCAGAGGCCTACCGATGCCATAGGGCACCTCAGAAGCTGCCATTCTTGCGGAACACGAGTGGCAGCGGTTTAGGATTTAGGGTTTTATGGTTCCGGGGTAAAGATCTAGACATGTCATGCGAATGTAGCTTCCTGACCACGGCAGTTGATGCGTTTGCAGCACAAATATTTAGTCATTTCAATATGCGCACAGCAATTACAATAAATCTTCTTCCATGCTGGTATTGCGTTGGTATAGTGAGAAAACTCTTGCCACGCGCCGCACATTCAGAATCCCCACACGTTGGTAACCGAGATGCAGGTGCCCCACTATCCGTGTCTGGCAGTCGCAGCTTCTGGGTGCACGCTGTACTAGCATCCCATTCCTGAAGTCCCAGAAAGCCTACACCGGCATCGTTCTTCCAGGCATCTTGGGACATTCCAGCTCTCCTTTTGACTGGGTTCTTGCCTATTGTGGCAACTTAAGCGAAACTCTGCCAAGAGCCCAGTTGACGTGCACTGGCCGCATGGCGGACAACTCAACCTACAATCCTCCAACCCCCAAAAGCGAAGCTTAAGGCCCTTCAACCCCAAAGCCTTCCCCCACACCGACTTACTCAAACTTTGCACTTCACATACCATCGGTGGCTTAATTTCGGGTTTCAGGGCGGTTTGGGGATGCGGACAGTGTTGGGATTAGATAATGGATGAGGACACCAAGACCCCCGAATTCACAACCTTGAACCAACTCCGCAGACCGGGTGTCACAGACTTGAATAGAGTTGGGAGCTCCACAGAGACACAATCAGCATCGAAGTCAGGCCCCCACTACAAAGAGCCCGATGGCACCCCGAGTTTGAGGAAGCCCCCCTTCTGTAAAGCATGGAAAGACTCCACTACATCCACTGTAAAACATCTTGAGAAGCCCCTGTAGCAAAAACTAATCACAAACCCTGAAATCATAAACTCAATGAACAACTCCCATGTTGAAAATGGAGCAGCGCACTTTGCTTCATGGCTCTGAGCACGTCGTTTGCATGGAGAGGTGCTTCGGCGAGTGGCTTGGGGTTAGGGTTCAGGGTGTTAGGGTTTACGACTTTGGATCTAGGGTTTAGGGTTAAGAGCGAGGGTGTAGGAGTACAGGGTTCGAAGGCCGTAGTAGGTCCTAAATTAAACTCTGAGCAGAACAAGCAAGAATGAACAATATTACCAATGGCAGAAGATAATAAAGCACTGAGAGTTTACACCCTTTCAAGCCGTAAGCTCTAGACTCTAGACTCAAAACCCTCAGACGTTTAACTCTGAACGTGCATCTGCGACGCCAGTACTAACTGTGTCAGCCGATTGCTCAAACACCGGCATGTAATGGGGGCTTTAGGGTTTAGGCCGTTCGAGGACATCTGCCGCATGCTGTCTTTGTAGCCTACCGAATTGACCGGTTGTTAAGACTTCTGTCAGACAGCAAGCGAGCACCAAACAATTGGAACCTTGTCACTGTTCTATAGTGTCGGCAATTTTGCTGGTTCCAGCAGCTGTAGCCGACTTTAGCAAAACTTGAGCAGCTATATAAAATCATGATAATACCAATGTTAGTCATAGTCATAGTACTAGGACCTTTAATAGGAGCGGTTGTCAACATTGCCAAGCGCCGATGGCATTTTTGCAGTCGATGCTTTCGGGCCGTACTCTTTACAGGGCACCAGGCCCGATACAAAAATGGCCTTAAAAATTACCAATACTATGTTGGGGGTTCCTTACTATAACTGTAGCATAATGGCCTCCAAACCCTATTCTAAGTACTAAGGCCCCTAGATTACCCTGAACTCCTGCGCAGCCCCTTCGTATAGGAGCATCGGGGAAACAAGCTGCGTTCCTGACTTCAGCGCGCATCTGCTCCTTAGTCCGAAACTCCCCGCATGTACCATGCACGGCCTGAAAGACCTTCGGCTGGTGAGCTAGGGCGAAGGCTATGTTACGAAGATAAATGTAGCTTCTGCTCTGCTTTAAAACTCGAGCAGCGCTCGGACTTTATCAGGTTTCAGGGTTAAGGGTGCTTTCCCCAATATCTTGTGCCGGTAACCCGTTACTGAGAGGAAATGATTAGGCAGATTCGAAGCCTGAACCTCCTAATTACTGCACCTGCATGTGCGAGACTTCCATGCAACTTTGGAAGGAGTAGTGGTAGTAGCAGTAGCAGTATCAGCAGTAGTAGTAGTAGTAGTAGTAGCAGCAGTAGTAGTAGTAGTAGCAGTAGCAGTAGCAGTAGCAGTAGCAGTAGCAGTAGCAGTAGCAGTAGCAGTAGCAGTAGCAGTAGCAGTAGCAGTAGTAGTAGTAGTAGTAGTAGTAGTAGTAGTAGTAGTAGTAGTAGTAGTAGTAGTAGTGGTAGTGGTAGTGGTAGCGGTAGTGGTACTGGTAGTGGTAGTGGTAGTGGTAGTGGTAGTAGTGGTAGTAGTAGTGGTAGCCGTGGTAGCCGTGGTAGCCGTGGTAGCAGTGGTAGCCGTGGTAGCCGTGGTAGCAGTGGTGGTAGTGGTGGCAGTGGTAGCAGTGGTAGCAGTGGTAGCAGTGGTGGCAGTGGTGGTAGTGGTGGCAGTGGTAGCAGTGGCAGTTTCTAGTAGCTGTCGTCGTAGTGGTAGTGGTGTAGTGGTGGTAGTAGTAGTTGTTGTAGTGGTATTACGGTAGTGTGGAAGTGGTAGTGGTAGTGGTGGTAGTAGTAGTTGTTGTAGTGGTATTACGGTGGTGGTGGTGGTGGTGGTGGTGGTGGTGGTGGTGGTGGTGGTGGTGGTGGTGGTGGTACTAGTAGCAATTGCAGCAGTACCCGCAACAGTAGTATCGTTTATGTTTTTGTGGATTAGTTCGTTGTGTGGCCAGATTGAGGCATTCATGTTTCGGTGGTCTGCGAGTTTCCGATAGGATAGATATCGCAGGCGCGAAATATTTGTTTTTGCAATTGTGTTCCGAGAGAGCTGCCCCAGAGCACACTACGGAATCTGGCGCTCGTCCCGTCGTTGCAGCCATGTCAATCCTGAGCCACTCTTGGACTGCCTCTTAAAGAAGTGACCCAGCCCAATCTCGGGGTCTCGACAACAACAGTGAGCAACTGATACACGACGACATTCTTGCGTAGTCCCTCCATGACATCACCACACTATACACCTTAACATTCACTGACAGTCCCTGTGCAATGATACCATGATGCACCCCTAAACCTTGTTCGAAATATCAAGGCACCCATAAACCTCCCGGCCAGCTTTTGCTACGCGTTTCACATGTTACCTTCGCTCATCAGAGCTCCTGCTTTCCATGTGCTCCCGAACCGTTTAGGGTCTTGGGTTTAGGATTCTATTCAGACTGGTTATGGTCCTGTATTATTGTAGGGACTAGTCATGGCGATATCATATAAGGACTCATTGCCAATTGTGGTGTGATTACGTAGTATAGGGACGACAAGGGGGAGGTTTCAAGCGAGGTGGTAGGGTGCTTGTCGTATGTGTCCAGCCAATGCAGCGTCACCTCTACCGGGCGCGTCTTTGAGTGGCGCTCGGCCTCGTCCACTGAAGCACCGAAGGGTGTGAACGGAGCGAGAAGCCGCGGAGTTATTGCAGGCCCCCCACAATTCTTTGCCTCGGCAACCTTCTTATCATAGAAAGTCATCTATGTGCCGTGGAGTAACCAAAATCTGGGGGGCCTGGATTTGGTGAACGTTGTGACTCAGCAGCGTTGAATTAAAACCGTGCTGTTTTGGAGTCTATACGTCAGCTGCAGCTTGACACACTGTGTAGGCTGGGGCGCCAACCACAGTCACCCTACTAATTACTATACCCTAAACCCTAATCGCCCTAGACCCTTTAAAACCTTTAAAGGAATCCTAATCGCGATTCAAATCCCGATGTGCAAAGCCCTAAGCCCGAAACCCAAACTGTTTTAGGGTTTATGGGTTTAGGGATGTAATGTTCCATTCCGCAGCATTGCCCATAGCCCAGAGGAGTTCGGACTGCCAATGAACGATGGAGGAACACAGTGAGAACCTGAAGCAGCTGCAGGCCTTGGACTCCTCATTGACGAGTATTTCGAGTTGGGGGTATGAGATATGGGGGTGTCAGAAAAGAGGGTTCACTTCCTTCTTCAGGGGCCCCGTTTAGTGAGGATCGTATTAGTCAGTGTCTAGATCTATCTAGCTATTCTGTTCTGTCCTGTCCTATCCTGTCTATCTTCAGATGTTAGGGAGCCCTGTGCTGTGTGAATTTCCCATCTAGGCGGGAATGAAGGTTTCTGCATTTGGCGGCTACGGATTGGGGTAGTATAAGGATTTGGCGTTTGTGCTGGTTCGTCTTCTTATTGTGTTTAGCTTCTCCTTCTGTACAGATTGCTTGTGTTTCGTTCGCCGCAATCGCCCCACGGTGAGTCTTCAAAGTTGCCACAGCCGCTAGGACTTTACCAAGAGTCACTTGTATTGTGCAGTGTTCATGCTATTGACGCCCTGAAGCCATACCCTAAACCACCCAAACCCTAAACCCTTCAGCCCACAATTGCCCCTAAACCCTAAACCCTAAGCTCCCAAGCCCCATCTGGCAACCTCTCGGCAGACCCAAGCGAGCGTAAACCTCACGCCGACGCCGCAGCGACAGCGAACGCCGGAAGGCGATGGCTTCAGATAACGGGCGTTGGCATGCGTATTATGACGGTGGTGATGATGGCTGTTATGTTTTTTTCTCTATCAAGATGATGATGGTGACGAATATGTTGGTGGTGATGACTAACTGTGTGTATGTATAGATGTGTAACATATGTGTATGTGTAGAGGGACTATACGCGAACATATATAATTTGCTAAATATCCGGACCGGCCAGGCATCAAAAGCAGGACTGTCGAAGCACACGAAGCATGTCAAAGACGCCAAGCGCAGTTATTCAGTTCGCCAGGGCCGGCTCGCAGGAGCTGTGCTTGAAATCGGGTTTACTTAGGGGTACTTAGAACTAATTTTTAAATTTTTGGGTTATTATATTCCCTAAGAAACAGCTAAAATTACAATTTTTGCTAGGGTTCTAAGTTCAGTATAGTAGTCCCTAAACCCTAATCCCTAAACCCTATAGAACCCTTTAAGGGAGTTTAGGGTGCAGGTGTTTTAGGCTTCAGGGTCTCGGATGCTGGGGTGCCAGCGTCTCCCTATGCTGCATGTGCTACTGAGCGGCCGACGAAACCAAAAAAAAGCAGAAACCGTCAACTCCGCTCTCGAGCATCCTTAGAAGCCCTTTAAAAACACAGTCTTGCGATTCTAAGAGGAGTAGGTCAGGGAGTAGTATACAGCACTCGAGTTTCAGGGTGCTGGAGGGTAGCGACAGCAGAATTACAAGAGGCACTCAATCAGTCCTCGACCCGCGTTCTACCCTCCATTCGACCCTACATACCTACTGTTGGCGACCATTGTTTCTTAAGGTGCAAGGAGGGTCCTGGGCTGCTTGCTGATGACAACCACATGTTCAGATGCAGAGGAGCGACGTCTTTACTTATGTAGCTTTCGGTTATGAGTCGGTTTAGGGGTTAGGGTTTAGGGCTTAGGGTTTAGGGTTCAGGGTTTAGGGAGTTCTATAAAAGCTCCCGGAAGCGGCTGAAAAACCGAGCCCTGTAGTCCTACGGTATCGAAGCTCTAAATCTAGACATTCAATTCCATCGCCATGAACAGGGATCAGTTTCGGGGTGGCAGTACCAGTTTCTCGATCTGTGGGGGCCCAAAGATTCTTATCCTTGAGGCTGCTGGGCATAAGAGCTTTTTGGGGTTTAGGGTACCTAAAGTTTGCTGAGGTGCTACGCCCGCCACTTTTGAGGGTCTGCCCCCTGAGGTCTACTCGCAAGGGCCCCGGAGGAGGTCTTAGATTCACGGTTTAGGGCCTTCGCCTCTTCGCCATCGTGGACAGGCTGTCAGGGATCTCTTCAGACTCTATAGACCTTTGCGGTGCAGGGATTCAATGATCCCGGTGGCAAGTTTGCGGCAATGATGGGAGCCTCAACCGGCCCTCTGCGACATCCTTCCCACTACTACTACGACGACTACTACCACCACCACTACTACCGCTGCAACTACCACTACCGCTGCCGATACCGCTACCGCCGCCGCTACCATCATTACCACTACCACCACTGCCACCAATACCACCACTGCCACCCATACCACCACCACCGCCGCCACCACCACCACCACCGCCGCCGCCACCACCACCACCACCACCACCACCACCACCACCACCACCACTACCACGACTACCACCACTACCACCACTACCACCACTCCTACTACTCTCCCTGCTCCGACCTACTCCTCCGCCGACGAGCATTACCCTTTGCTGAGGCTAACTTGGCCCACGGCCTTCCTCGAGAGCCCTCGCGGAGAACGCTTGGTGCACGGGGCTGTTTGATGTCTTCGAGACAGGGGTCGATGTGTGTGTGTATATATATATATATATATATATATATTATGCACACAGTTTTATATACACGATGGTACATTGGATAAAGATGTGTGCGTATAAATATGTATATACATCACCGGGACAAAAGTTTCGACATACGGAGGATTGTCTCAAAGTGCCATGTACATGTGCCGTGGAGAAGCGGAGAGGCCAGAAGTCCGTTTTACGTGGCCAGCGTGGCGGAGTAGTTAATTCCCTGGAATAAAATTATACTACTATAATGTTCTCGGCGGAGAGCCTTGGGGATCTTGTGGAGGAGTCTAGGGGGGAAAAGGGGTGGCATTACTACATATATGTTGAGCTCAAGGCAGTGTGGCGAACTTTCGTCCTGCGGTAGTATATATATATACACACATAACTATACACAGCAAGATCGTCTCATATTCTGAAATGCCACATCCTGGACTCCAAACCCGAAGCCCGAGAGCCCTAGGCCTCTAATCCCTGAGCATGTCTCTTGCCAGGAACTGACGGAGGAAGCTTCCCATGCCACACGCAGCTCAGGAGCCGTGGATGCAAGCGGATCGGGGCTGGCAAATTCGGGGGTTTCCGTGGTCCATGAGGTTCGGCGTTCAGGGCTTATAGGGTTTAGTGAGTTACAGTGGTTTCGATGTATCATTCTGAGCGACATAAAACATCATTCAACTTTCGTTTTTCCGCATTCGATCGCGGGGGTCAGGGTCGATTTCAATGGACAGACCCCACCCCGAGATGTCAAAGCTGAACCCCAGTTCTCAGGTATCTAAGAGATCCATCGTCATCGAATCCCTGGTTCAGTTACGAGACCCTTAACCCTCATTAAACCCCCAAACCCCTAAACCCTAAACCGATGGCTGGGCATCGTTCCAAAAATTGCCCAGACTCCTCGCCTAAGGCTCTGCGTACCTATATGGTATCCACTTAGGCCATGAAGTCGTCTCTTTTTCGGTACCTTAAGGCCAAAGTATATATATATATATATATATACTATATACGATTATATACAGTCCCCAACACACAACATGTAATCAGTATGTGAAGCCTTAAAAGCTGATCCGACCCGATCTCAGAGCAAGTTTTGCAATCCAAGGGAGCATGGGACCTCTGGATACACATTGGGATCAGGACGCGTATATCGTAGTCCCTTTCTCTGAGTATACTTACTGTGGGGGACCCCGAAACCCTATCCCAAGAGGTTTCCAATGATAGTGGTTCCGGCTTGAGCCATGCAGTGCGAGTGCTGAGGCATCACGAAAGGGGTGGCCCTGGTAGGCACCCGCACGTTCGCACAGTGGCGGATGCAAGGATTCAGCAATTCTTGATGAAGGGCTTTGGAGTTTCAGCCTTAAGCCTTTAGGGCTTAGGGTTGGGCAGTTCGTGGTTTAGGAGTATGGGGCCGACGGGCTTGCAGCTAGAATGTAAGGTGCGGCTGGGGCCTCATGGATAGTTCGAACATGCAGGTTGGCCTTTCGCGGGGGGACCCTGTGCATGTGACTTCACACCGCGAATGCCAACTTTTTCCCTGAACACTGAACGCTAAATCTCTGTTGCTTTCCATTAGACTTGCTGTTGTAGTTAGTTGCTTGCTTCTCGGTTTGGTCTACGTAATCCCCAGGAGTCTGCTGCACAACCGTGGTTAGTTCGGCAGAACTATGCCAAGGTCTGCGCGAGTTTAGGACACTCCAGTTGCTAGGTGAGTAACGTTTAGAATTGTGTGTAAACAGTAGAACTGTCTCCCCACGAACCTGTTTTCTTGTATCTCCGAACCATAAAGATACCCCCCCAAGCAACCTTTTCTGATGACGGCAGCAGATGCCAAGGCTCGTACTATAAGTTCGGCACTTCAGCGTTACAGCTTGTGGTTTAGGTAAATTGCTGAGTCTATAGGGCCTCGGGCTTGGAGTTTATAGGGTTCACCAGAATGGTCGGGGATCCTCAGACAAGTAGGTTTTAGAAGTTTAACTATATACAAAATACCTTAATACAGAACTCTTGTGGACTGTTGTTCAATGTAGGATATACAGTTTACCCTAAGGGTCTATGTACCCAAATAGTATATAGTTTGGCCCCAATGTACCTCTATAGGGACTACTTTAAGGCCAATGTGTATACTCTTCAGGTACATGGACCCTTAGGGGGTTAGGGTTTAGGGAATTCCTCAGCATGGGGAGGCCCGCTCTCCCTGGAGCGTGGCCTCGCTTACTTCGAAGTGGAGGCTCTAAGAGCCACGGTTTAGGGTTTAGGGTTTAAGGGGCTTCAGGTTTAGGATTTGGTTTGGGTTCAGTGGGGTTTAGGGTTTGCGGAGTATTGGGCAACAGGGGGTTGCGTGGCCTTCCGGTCAGCGGGCGGCCCCTGCAGTCATGGGAAGATTCGCCGACCCAGTCCACGGGCCCGGAAGCCCTTATGTAATCCTCATGTCTTATGTATTGTTTTTGTTAATCCGTGGCTTTGTATCAATATCCCGGAACCCCGAATCCTAGAAAGATAGCTGGGCTTGTAGGGGGGCATGGAGTTTTACGGAGTTCTTTGGGTCTGGTTGGGAGCCTCGTGGCATGGACCTGCAGCTGAGGATGCATGTGCCACAAAGGCTGTTCCTTTCGTACTTTTCCGGGGTCTTGTTCCGTAAAGGAATCAGTATGAAACAACAGTAACTATCTACTTTCTTCTGCCTTTCAACTTGCACGCCTCCGACAGCTGTACTGCAAAGAGCACGAAACTCAATCGTAATCATCATCGCTTATATCGTCGTCAATCTTTCTCCGGTGCATCTCGACCCGTGGTGTTGCATAAATGCATGAGGTTCTGTGTGGCTCCTTAGCCTTTCGCGAACGTCAGTTCTAAACTCTCGCGGACCCCTAAGCCCAAAACCCCTAAACCCTAAACCATACTTGGAGGTTCAGGGGTAGACATAAGTAGGGTTGTAAGTAGGGTAAATGTACTTATAACCCATATTAGGGGACTTAACCCCAGTTATAACTACCCATGAACCTCCAAGTAGCCCTAAGCCACAGGCAAGTTACCTTGTGCTGGAAGGTTGCCGAGATGGAATCCAAGTGCTCCCAAAGCATGGCGCCGATGCCTCACTTGCACAGTCTGCTGCTGCATCACTTAGGGTTTAGGGGTTTAGTGTTTTGGGGTTTAGGAATTTAGGGGTTTAGGGTTTTGGGAATTAGGAAATTTGGGGTTTAGGGTTTACTTGTTTTGGGTTTAAAGTGGCCGTGGTCTGGTGTTCCAGGCTCCGCGGTTTCGGAATTGGGCACTCGGACACAGGTTCCCCTGCCTGAATATCCAACGCCACATGCCCCCAAATCGTTAAGGGAGCACAAACCCTCCAAAACAGTAGGATATGACCGCTTAATCACAGTGTACCTTCAAAGAGTAGGTTTTTGGATCCCAGTTGAAGCTTGAAAGCTTCAATCAGGCTGCATACGTAGCCAACCCCGGAGGTCTAAACTCTTCGATGGCAGCTCGTTCGATAGCTTCACAAGCCTAGAAGTCCAAAGCCGATACGCAAAGTTGTGAACATGTTATATCAAAAACTCATAACACTGGCCTCTCAAACCTTGCGGCAGTTTGCGACTGGAGAGAAACAAGGTCCGTTAAGCCAGGAAACCCCGATCTCGGGCAGTTGCATGTAAAGCAAACCCGTCGGGAGGGTTGTTGTCCTTCGGTAGGTTCGTGACAAAGCATAGGACCACCTTTTCCTAGACAGACCCAAAGCCCCTACTGTTTGGAGGTTCTCTGAGTTAGAGTCCCTCTCAGGATGACTGGCGCCGTATTTTGGGCAGCCTTTTATGTATAGTATGTGTAACTTACCGCCAGGCCCACGTACCCAATTGTGTGTTTTTTGCGGTCCCTGTACACTTAAACCCAGACTTCTACTACCTGGACCCTAAGGAACCTACCTTTTTGGGGTTCCCTTTTGCTTTCTTTGTATAAGTCCTTAAAACTTGAAAAGGTAGGTTACGTGGGGTTAAGGTAAGCCTTACAAAGGAACCCTCGAAAGAAGCCAAGGAACTCTTGAAGGGCTCAAGGAGCCCTTGCAGGAAGCCCTAAATAAGGCCTTGCAGGAACCCTGAAAAGGAATCCGAAAAGGCACCCTAAAAAACCCTAAGCCTTACCTGGACCCTAAGGAACCTACCTTTTTAGGGAACGTCCTTAAAAAGGTAGGTTACGTGGGAATACCTAAATAAGGCCTTGAAGGAACCCTGGAAAGGATCCGAAAAGGCACCCTTAATAAACCCCATGCCCTCGAAAGAAGCCAAGGAACTCTTGAGGGGCTCAATGAAAAGGATCCGAAAAGGCACCCTTAGTAAACCCTACGCCCTACCTGGACCCTAAGGAACCTACCTTTTTAGGGTTACCGAATATGATTTCATGATTTAAGTCCTTAAAACGGTAGGTTACGTGGGGTTACGGTAAACCTTAAAAAAAAACACTTAACAAAAACACTACTCCACTTCCCCGAGGCTCGGCTTTTGCCCTGTCCTCCCAGAAACTCGGGGCTCGGCCCTCCGGGCGGAGCGCGCCCGCGAGCTGCGCAGGGCCACGCTGCTGGGTGGGGAGCTCACTTTCGGGGCTTCATTATAGGGGCTTAGATAATTACCTATACTATTGTTGGGGGTTCCGTATTATAACTTTAGTATAATGGGCCCCAAAACCTTGTTCTAATTAATAAGGCACCCTTCTACAGGGAGGGTTTTAACCTTGGCTTTATAGGGGCTTTATATAAGGATCTCAGAAAGGTGTTCTTCTTTGACAATAATGGTCTTTAGGCTTCTAAGCGGTGGGTATTGTAAGAGCTTCGAAGGCTTCTAGAAGGGTATTGAGACATTGACACGAAGACTTAAGGGCTTAAAGCTTAGCGCTTTGAAATTGTGTGGGGATGGGCTTAGGGTTTCAGGGTTCGGTGCATGGGTTCGGACTGCAGTGGGTCGCAGGTGCGATCAGTATCAACAACCGATAGGGCTGATAGCCCCTAGGAATCCTAGGAATCGTGAGACGTACGGTTTGGGGTTAAGGGTTTACTTAGCATGAGTTCTTGGCGTATGCTTGACCAATGCAAGGCTTTGCACGAGGTTGCTGCTTCTGACGCTTGTTATTGGGCCAGGAGAAGACTAGATCATCCTGCCAAGCCAGAACCCGAGCCCTAAATCGCCAAAGCTTCCCTTCTTATACGACGGCGGGCTTTAAGGGACTCAAACACCCAATCTGTCCTTCTTGACCCGATGCAGACCCTGACCCTGAACTCTCAGCGCTTCTAAGCACAACTCCACTCTAACACCCCATAACCCGAAGCCGAGTCGACTGTGGACTTTCTTCCTTGTTCACCCGAAAAGTCCTAAAGCCGAAACTTGACAGCAGGCTATGATCTGCCGAAGATCTATGCAGACGGTCAGGAGGCGGGCGCTCGAAAGGCTTCTAGTGTCAAACATGACCCTATATCCATAGAAAATTTCCGGTACAATAACAACAACAGTATCCACGATCATAGTAACAACAATATCATGAGTAATCCGAACCTACAAATAGCAATACGAGCGAGATCAACAACACCAAACACAATTATACATGGTTCATGATACATGATAACAGCAGCAACAACAGCAGTAATAGTAACAATAGTAGCAGCCAAGAAACCTTAAGTAAATAGTGATGCTCGCAATTATTAAGGCTGACGCTTTTTCAAATACAAATACAAATACTGATATTCATGATATTCGTAATTATACTTATAAGGATAACACTATGTGATAGTAGCAGTAATGACAATATGTGTTTTATCTATACACACATATTAGATGCGCATATACATACATATATATATATATATATATATATATGCATGTACGTATGTATGTGTATGTTAATATATTTGCAGTTTAAAGGGTTCCATCCAGCTCTAGCATGTGTTTGTGTTTTTGTTGCGTCTCTGAAATGTGCCTTTCTGCACTTTCACGCGCAATCCTTTCTGCAGGGGCTTGAGCTTTCTCGACGTTTAGGGTTTAGGGTGTAGGGTTTAGGGTCTGGGGTTTAGGGTTTAGGGTCTGGGGTTTAGGGTTTAGGGTTTTATACTTTGGAGCCAGAAAGAGCCGCAGCAGAGAGAAGTGCGTGCGGCAGCCCCTGCACGGGGAGCCGACAAGCTTCTACACCTTACACTCCGACGGACAGCAAAGCGTAGAGAGTTCTGGCGCGTTTCATGGGTGACAGGCTGGAAAGATCAACACCAAACAGTGGCGTCCCCTCAAGGACGGTCCGGTGCTTTGCCCTTTCGCCATCCACCTTGCGCATTGTGAATGCAGGGAGAGCAGCCCAAATAGTATAGAACAACCGTAGCCCAAACCACGGTATTTAGGAAGGACTAGACAGCCCATTCATGGCTTGCAAGCTGCGGCTTGGGGTTTCCTTTTGTGTGCTTGGAAAGATCTTTTGACAAGTGGAAGGAGACAGTCAAAGTTGAGCCCCAGCACCAGGAGATGTAAGGTCTCATGCTGACAGCATTTTGGCTAGTAGTCACTGTTTTCTGCTAGTTTCTGCAGTGTGCATTTCCTTCAACGCATGTAGAGGTAGTGATGGTTGTAGTGAATCATCATGCAGTCATGCAGACCTAAAGCCTAAAGCAGGATATCATTCATCATCTTCCAGCCCCAACGCCTCCTGACTCCTAGTGACGGTCCTAGTGACCTAGTGCTCAGAGGACCTCTCCGCAGGAAGCCGCATCGGCCTTCTTATCGACCGGAATGCCTGGGAGCTGACGGCGGCCTGTCAAGTTACCTTCGGAAAAAGCGGTCCTAATCACCCACCCCCCATCTCTCCCCACCCAGACTATACACAGAATTTTCCACTGATACTTAGCCCAAGTACCTACCTGTTGCGTCCTTTGGACCCTCAAGGTATGATGCTGCAAGTTTGCTCACAGTCGACAACTAGAGCTACTGAGAACTGTTTCTGCTAAGTACCGTCATAGCGACTAGCATTGTTGCAGCTCATACGCATCGACACACGGCAGCACACGATCAGCATTTAAAAAGAGTAGAACATTTTGATCTTAAGGTATCATTAGCTCGTGTTCGCTTCAAACTGAGGCGGGGCTGATGACTTCGAGAGGTCTCAATAGCAGCACGCATCCCTTGCGAATGTTGAAACCCAGCTATGCCAGGTCTTCATGAATGGCTGCAGGAAGGCTCGTGGAGTGCGATGAAGTGAGGCTCTAAATTAGGCAGGGCTCACTGGATGCCCGAATGATTAGCATAATTAACGGGTACAGATGGTGACAGTATAACATACCCCAACTCCCTGTTTGTGTATTGAGGTGTCGCCCTCCGATGCGAGCTCAAGAGATGAACCTTGCACCTTGAAGCAAGCACCAGACATGTTGCGCTTCGCAAGGTGCGTGAACCCTGCGCCCCGCTAACCCTGAACCTTCAACCCTCTGACCATGTCAACTCGCATCACTTCGCCCTTTCGGAGACATCTGTCGTTCTTGGGCAAACCAGGCGCTACGTCGTAGAGGCATAGGGCTTCGGGTAACAACGGTTCCTGCAGGATCATCATGAAAGGACCTTTACAGTTCAGGCTTAAGGATAAGCTGTCCCAGCCTTGTCAGAAACCCTGGTGCTTGGGATCCTTGCAGACAGCTGAACTAGGCATCCCTATAATGTTGAGAAGCCCTCAGAAGCGGTTTTGACCTTCAATGGTTGCAGGTGACTGTGTCCATACCAACAGATGGATCGCAGCCGCGTGCTCAGATGTCTTCCGTTCCCGATAGTCAACACCAATAGGGTGCTAAGTGAACAGACCATAAAGGTATTCAGGATTCTTTGGGACACTACTTTTAATGACGCTACTGACCCCGTGTTGTATAGACCCTAATACAGCCTTACCTGCGCTGTATTCCAGAAGCCTGCATGAATGCTCTAGCTCTATGCATGGAGTCGAACCGAAGCAGGAGCGATGTGCAGCCCTCACGCAAAGCAACAGTTCGAGCAAACGCCCGGGCCTGATTCTAGTTCTAGTTTACTAGTTCGTACTGTGTCGGCTGATAAGTCACGAGCAGTATTGTTTCTGTGTGTAATAATCAGTTTCTTTACGACGCAGCTGTTCTGACAAGTGCTGAGAGGGACTTTGGGCAGCTCTACAACCAGAATCCCATACGACCATCTCACAAGTCATTACTTTATCCTGCAAAGCCCTTTCAACAATCCTTGATGCTAGTAACTATCTTGTGAGGCCCTCATATCACGCTTTGGCTTTGTCTGAGGCGCCCCACGGAGGTTTGGGGAATCGTCGACATCCACGGAAACGTCGTGAACTTGGAGACGGGATTGCATGGCGAGCTTAGGGTCTGCCAAACCCCTAAACCTCTAGCAGCATGAGTCCCGACAAGGTAAGATCTGTTCGGCTGCGCGGCAATTCGGAGATCAGGCGTCGCTTCGAAACCGTGGAGAGGGGCTGTCGAGTGTATGGGTTTCTGCAGGCTTCATAGGGCTCTTATAATAGAAGTATTCTTGAAACGGTTTACTCATAGGGATCGACAGGTTTTCGAAGGGTTCCACAAGGGTCCTATGAGGGTTTGCAATGGATGTTTTAGAAGTAAAGGGTTGACTCTTTAGAGCTTTAGGCTTTATGTTTCTTTTTTTTGTTGGGGGGGGGTGGAGGTTATGGCTTTATGGGGTTGTGTTTTGTTCACTAGCTATAGGCTTCGGGGATTTAGGGGTTTGGCCTTTGGGGTTGCAGGGCCTTCCGCCATTTTGCATTCAAGCTTCAGGGATTTAGAAGCACAACGGGGGGGAGGGGGGTAGGGATCTAGTCCACGCTGGTCGCGAGCATCGGAGGTGGATGTTGGCGAGAACGTTGGTGAAGTGTGATTAGTGTTGTACAACTTAGTAGCGATGATGACAGCACTGCAGGCGATGGCGATGGCCATGTAGTGATGACGACGATGGTGGCGATAGTAGGCGTTCGACTTCGATGGCCGCAGGTTTTGAGAGTGCTTGCTTTAAGAAGCTAGGCTACTCTGTCTTGATTTGTTGCAACTGTTCTTCTTCAGCAGCTTCAGCTTGTATTGTCGCTCTCTGGGCAATCAACGAGAATATGCCATTAGATTGCTTATGAGAACAGAACACAACATACCTCCAAGCCTGATTAGTTCTAATCGTTAATTAAGGCCCCTCCAGTAGTCATTATCGTCCGACGTGTGGGCTTTGCCGTGGTGGTCCCTTTGCCTAATCCAAAGCTTCAGTACCAGATGCTGGCGAGCATGCCAAACAGCCGTCAATGCATGTTGTTGGCGGTGATTGCAGCCTTTCCAATCGCGCTGCTGTTGTGTCGTTCTGACGATAGGAACATCGTCTTTCATTTTTGCCGTCGATTAGTTTAGAACCCTCTGGATGCTTCAACGGCCGCAAGTTCCGATATAGGTAAACATGGCAGTTGTAGCACTTGGGTGTAGCACTTGTCAAAGCAGCATTTGCCGGCTGACCACGGTGTAGTGTAGACGGCCAGAAGCCTCCAACCCAACCGAGCAATGTTCTGCATGCCCCGACAGACCAGTAGTCGGAATTATTAACAATAGTTGTAGCAATACTTATCGTTCTTATAGTCGTAATAGTAGCAGTAACAGTAAGCCCCAAACCCTAAACCCTACATAGTAGATTATAAGGTCCCTAGTATGGGTTATAAGTATAGCTACCCTACTTATAGCCATACCTATAACTACCCTAAAACAGAAACCCTATAGAACCCTTAAGGGAACCAATGGGACCTTAACCTTTAAAGCCTAAACCCTAAGCCCCTAAACCCCTAAAGCCTAAACCCAGTAGCCGTGCTGAAGATGAACCCCGAAACCCTTATAATCATAGTACCCGCCTTGTCGTACCCTTGCAGTAACCCTTGTCGGTCCCTGAAAGGCTACCCCTACTTAGAGGATCACGGGACTTAGTAACCAAGGTTATAATTAAGGTAACTATACTTATAATTACTTATAACCCCAATTAAGGTACCTATAACCATACTTACCCCTAAACCCTAAACCCTAAACCCTAAGTCCCATGATCCTCCAAGGAAACCCAGGGCTGAACTCGAACGGGTCCCTGTTGCCCTTTGCTAGGCCGACGGCATCACCTGCGCGGACCTTGGCAAGTCGGATGTCCAGGGGTTTAGGAGGCTGTTTGGGGGTTTAGGGGTTTAGCGGTTTTGGGGTTAAGGGGTTTAGAGTTTAGGGTTTAGCGTTTAGGGCTTCAGAGGTATAGGACTTTTAGGGTTTGAGGTGTAGAGTTTAGGAGGGGTTTGGGGGTTCAGGGTTTTCGGGGAAGCCTTGGAGGGATCTACGATAAGGGTTCCGGGGTTCAGGGTTTTACGGTTTACGGGTTTAGGGTTTGAGGCTTAGGGGTTCAGATTTTAGGGGTTTAGGGTTCAGGGTTGAGGTTCCGAACAGTCTGGCTTGTGTCTGATTTGATTGTAGAAAACATACTACATGGCATCAGCTGCGGCATCCCTTGCAAAAGGGTCCTTACCACTAGTATATTGATAAGGATGGTCTTGCGAGACACACTGTAGGACTGGTGACCAGCATTCATTGAGCTTAACGGCCTCCCTGGGCTTAGCAGCAGAGGTCTGCCATGAAAGTTATATCAAGGGTTTGCGGATGCTCTAGAGAATGAGCCCAAGAAGAGGGCTACATTAGGGTGATCAGCATGTGCTCATTCAACACGAGGACGTTGGTGATGATGGCAACGGCTGAAATTTGATCACACATACCGTTGACCGTCACCATCACCCTAAACCCCTACACCCTAAAACCCTAAACCCTAAAACCCTACACCCTAAAACCCTAAACCCTACACCCTAAAACCCAAAACTCTAAAACCCTAAACCCCTAAACCCTAAACCCTAAACCCTAAAACCCTAAACCCCTATACCCTAAACCCCTAAACCCCTAAACCCTACAACCCTAATCCCTAAAAACGTAATCATGAGACCCTGAACCCCTAAACCCTACAACCCTAATCCCTAAAACCCTAAACCCCTAAACCCTACAACCCTAATCCCTAAAACCCTAAACCCCTAAACCCTACAACCCTAATCCCTAAAACCCTAAACCCCTAAACCCTACAACCCTAATCCCTAAAACCCTAAACCCCTAAACCCTACAACCCTAATCCCTAAAACCCTAAACCCCTAAACCCTACAACCCTAATCCCTAAAACCCTAAACCCCTAAACCCTACAACCCTAATCCCTAAAACCCTAAACCCCTAAACCCCTAAACCCTACAACCCTAATCCCTAAAACCCTAAACCCCCAAACCCCTAAACCCTACAACCCTAATCCCTAAAACCCTAAACCCCTAAACCCTACCTAATCCCTAAAATCCTAAACATGAAACCCCGGGTGCCCTGCCCAAGCTCCTGTGAGGCCCTTCCAGCGCCTCCGCAGTGGGCTCTGCAGGCAATCCCTAGGGCTCTAAGGCCTCTTCTATGGGAGTTTCCGAAAATTAGGGGTACCTTATTATGGGGTCCTCAAAATAAGGGTCCCAATTTTTTCGGAAACCCCCATATATTAGGGCTTAACCATACTATCTAAAGCTTTTGGGCTGTTTTGATCTCCAGGGAATGGGGCTATGAAGCAGTGGCCCCCTTTCGGAACGGCCCACGGCTTATAGTATAGCCTAGGGTTCAGTGGCTATGGATGTCAAGCTCTAGGGTTCATACAGGGTTTAGCCAGTTAGCTTAGGGTGTCGGGTTGGAGTCCTGGGGTACATTGATTGAGGCCATTGAATCTGCAGTCGAAAGGGAGCCCAATGCGAACTGTTCTTTGCACATCCCGAATTGCAATTCAGGGTTTAGGGTTTTGAGTAAACATGTGAAAACCCTGAACCCTAAACTTGCCCTGGGGCTCCAAACAGCCCAAAGTAGGTGCTATTTATAGAGTTTGGACAACAAAGTAGATACTATATGGGTGGGTACCCTTAATATTAGGTGCCGCACTCTATAAGGGACCCAAAAAGGGATCCTTATTTTGACAAGCACCCATATGTATACTTGGAACCCTAGGGTTGTTGTGTGGACGAAGTTTTGTCAACCAGTTCTCGGGGTGCACCGGCCTCTTGCTTACTGTGGCTGCCCGGTAATAAGGCTTTAGGGTTTAGCTTATAAGTGGCCCCACCCTGTAATAGTGGTATAGTAGGAATATAATGGGGCCCTAATGTAATCCTTGTAGTCACTATTACAGGGTGGGGGCCCCTTCTAAGGTCTAGGGTTTAGGGTAAAGACCTGTCAAGAGGAGTTGCAGTACAAACCTATGAGAAAGAAGTATAGTATAGATCTGCCGGTGAATCCTGGGCCCTCAACCCGTGCTGCAGTCTCTCAGTGAGAGGCACCTCGAACGCCTGCGCGACTGGCATCGACGCAGGACGTTTTATCGTGGATAGAGAAGCCGTATATAAAAAATGCAGAGCTGCGGCTATATCTCTCTCTCTATATATATATACAATAATATGCAACATATTCGTAGAATATACGTATGCATGTATGCATGTATGGCCTGAAGCCCAAGCACTGACCTTTTGTTGAGCTCCCAAGGATTTACCGCTCACAGAAAACTGTTCCTTGCAAGGCCAAACCCCTAAGCTCGGCTATTGTGCCTGGGGTTTAGGGTTTAGGGTTTAGGCTTGGCTAGTGGGCCTGAAGACCAGTGTAAAAACTCAACACCTGCACACCATACCGAGTCCCTGACCCTGCATCCCAAGACTGAAACTTGGCATAAACAAATCCCAGAACCCGCTCTATGTAGTCCAGTCCTGACGCTGCCATCGGGCAAACCCCAGCCCTGTCGTTGAGGGTTCACATGTCCCAGGAGCATGCATCAACTCCACTCGCAGGCGAGAGAAGTGGTTCCTGGCAGAATCAGGATCCCTGTTATGGCCACACAGTATAGGAGGTTGCTGCGTGTGCACCTGCACATACATGTACATGTGGATATGTATGCGGTACATGTATGTGTGAATGCATGCATGGAGGTGGGCAGGCAGCTAGGCAAGTAGGCATTTAGGCAGGCAGGCAGCTGGGTATGCGCACGCATGCACGTTAACACGCACGTCTGTCTGTCTGTCTGTCTGTCTGCCTGCCTGCCTGCCTGCCTGTCTGTCTGTCTGTCTGTCTGTCTGTCTGTCTCTGTCTGTATATGTATGTATGTGTATGTATGTATGTATGTATGTATGCATGCATGCATGTATGTATGTATGTATGCGTGTACGTCTGCATGTATGTATGTATGTGAGTCTGTGTATGTATGTGTGTATGTACGCCTGTAATGTACGTATGTAGGTATGTATGTATGTCTGCACGTATGCCTGTATGTATCGATATGCCTATGTACGTGAGTATGTATCTTACCCAGAGCCTAAACTCCAAACCCCTAAACGTGCGAACTGAGCTTTGCAACAAAAATCCTAAAGCCCAAAACATGAGCGTTCTGCGCCGTTTTGAGATTGCGGACGGGGCTCATTTAGGAGTTTAGAATGCGCGGGGCCCATGTGGGGTTCTTGTTTTGGGGTTAGTTTAGGGTTCAGCAGCCTCAATTGAGGGTTGAGGGTTTCAGGTTGTCGGGTTGGGTAAGATTCGAGCAGAACTTGCGGCGACGTATTCGAGCTTAAAGCTGAGTGTACGGGTCTTGAGGCCCAGTCTTGCAATCTTTAAACGCAGCAAAACTGTTGATGGTTTATCCTCATCCTGGTTAACCTTCCTTTGTCATCGCTCTACATGGGATGGCTACTCTTAAACCGATGTCTTTGACGGACCCACTTGGAGTCTGATGTGTATGTGCATGATACCTACATACATTACTACATACATATATCATGCTACACTAAATCTTCAACTTCAAACCCTGAGCCCTAAACCCTACACCCCGCAAAGCCCTACACTTCACTCCTCGAAGCCTCTTTCGACCCCCACTACCCTCCCCCTACCCACCGAAAAAAGGTATGTAGAAAACGCTACATATATGTATATATATATATATACATATCTGTACTGTATGTATATATATATATATACATATATATATATATATATATACTATACATACATATGTAGTTTTGGCAGGTCGTGACATTCCTCCTCGTTCCCTCTTCGAGGAGGAGCTCCTTCTAACACGACATTAAAACACCTACTGTTCAGAAGTCTGAATCATGAGAAGTTTGTGCCAGGAAATAGTATGGCATCAGTTGAGCCGGGATCATGTAAGTAGGCTCAGAGTTTAAAGTCTCCGGTAAGAGGGGTTAGCACTTTACACTTTGAAGTTCGTCACGGCTTGTGTACCTGCTGTCGGACGTTAGCAAAGGCCTAATTTGACTTTGCTAAGTGGCCTTCGTCATCGCACGGTGTTTGGATAGACGAAAGATTGCCAACACATGCCAGAATCCAAAGTGGCGGCATGAAATGCCTATATAGATCCCTTATAGGAACCCGGATTCCCTATAGATCCCTCAAAGGGACCCTAGGTATTCCGAGTCTCTATATGTCTAGCGTGCTGTAGAGCCCCGACTGACAACTGCCCACAGCCTCTATGTCACTGGGCTGTGCGATGTCGCTTGGCTTCAATGGAACCGCTGCTCATTCTTTACATGGGATTCAGACTTCTATGCACATATATATATATATATATATACACATTCATATAGATATATAGGTATATGTATACATATATATATATATATATATATATCTATATATACATATTCAAAGGGTCTCGAATGTCGCGGAATGCATATAGGTATTACGATGAGATCTATGTACCAATCTTCCACACCCCTGCAGTAGTGGCACACACCCATCTTTCGGTGGCGCCTGAGCTGCGAGGAAAATCCGCCATCGAAGAAATTCTCAGTTGTGGAGGCCCGCATGGCTGCACCTGAAAACCGAAATTATGTTTGTCCTAAACCCTTCACCCTAAATCCTCAAACCTTACCAGGTGACTCTAAGCCCTGAAGCGTTTGAGCTTTATGGTGGGAGCTTTCTGTTTCCCTCCGGGCTTCTTTGCCATGAATCTTACATCCCAGAATCCAGTGAACAATCTGAAGTGGCAGAGCTAAACCAAGTCCACGTGTCTTTTGTTGCGACTAGTGTTCAATACTTCGACAGGAGTAAGCAGTGCTGCCAGTATGTTCTTTGTATGACTGCATCTGTACTACCGTTCAGTGTAATATTCGTGACTTGTGTTTATTGCTCTTACTACTACTACTACTACTCCTCCTCCTCCTCCTCCTCCTCCTGCTGCTGCTGCTGCCGCGGCTGCTGCTGCTGCTGCTGCTGCTTGCTACTACTACTTACTACTGCCAATGCTACTGCTACTGGTACTACTGCTGTTGCTGCTGCTGTTGCTATTACTACTACTACTACTACTACTACTACTACTGCTGCTACTACTACTACTACGACAACGACTCCGACTGCGACTGCGACTGCAACTGCTACTGCTACTGCTACTGCTACTGCTACTGCTACTACTACTACTACTACTACTACTACTACTACTACTACTACTCCTACTCCTACTCCTACTCCTACTCCTACGCCTTCTGCTTCTGCTACTGCTACTGCTACTGCTACGGCTACTACCACTCGCTACGACTACTCCTACCACTACCTCTACTCCTCTTATTTACTAGTAGATACTCACCAGTTTTCTCATTGCCTTTATCCGCAAACAAAATATCAAGCCCAGTCCTTTGTCATCTTGTGTCATCTTTATCAGATGTAATCCATATGAGGTTGGCGTGTAGCGTTTTAACTTGGGCTAAACCTGAAGCCTCAAATCGGAGGCCGTCAGCATGAATCCCAAAACCCCCAAAACCCTGAACTTCCTAAACCTTGAGACGAGTTTCGCTAGTTTTGCTGGGAGCCAAAGAGGTCACGGCCAGCGCAAAGAAGCGGCTGCGGCTGAGCGCTCACCCTTGCGGCTGTGGCTTGGCGAGATTTCAGGTCTTTGACAAAATCAACAAACGAGCCAACAAATACACCAAGGATACATGTGTTTTATTTGGGATCAGTATCGACACGCCTCTACTGGCGTGGGGCTGTGTGGGGTGCCCTGTACACGGCTTTGAAGGGTGTTTGCATCTTTATGCGGTCTGTCATTTTTTCGACACCATTACGCAGCAAAGCCCCATGAAGGCCTGTGTTCAGATAGCTGAAGATGGACCGATCCTTGAATCTAACTTTCAACTGCTTCTGCTGCTGATGCTAGTCTTCTTGTTGTGGCTTTGGAGTAGCTGGCAGGGAGACTCGGGAGCGTAACATGACCTTTTATTCCAGCCGCCCATCCTAGCCGAAAGGGCTATACTCAGCGAAAAGCACTCGAAACCTACTTGAACCCTAGCCAAAGTCCCAGCGCCTAAACCCTTAGCCCTAAAAAACCTTAAACCCTTCGAACCTTAAGCCCAAACTAAACCCCTAAAAATCGTATCGGTCGACCCGAGACCTCTCCACAATTTCATGCCCATGAGCTGCTTTCATAGCTGAAAGGAGACTTGGCTTCGTGAACATCATGCTACATACATACAAACAGACATAATTACACACACATACACACATATGCATGTATACATACATACACACATACGTACTTACATACGGCAAGTGCCACCTCAACACCATGAGCCCAAGCTCAAGGCATTGCTCACTTGCTCGACGTAAATCGCCACAGGCTCAGCTTCAAGTAGCCTGCATGAACACACCATTGATGGGCATCTGGGTTCAGCTGTGGAATTTAGGGTCATGGGCTCTAGATGTAGCACCTCGATTGAGAAGTCCTGAAGAAGTTTCGACGGATTAACTCCTCTGCACTTATGCTGAAAATAGTGAGTCCATGAATGGCTTCAGTTTGCAATGACGGTGACGCGGTTGTCGAATAGATAGCAGGTGCCGCCAGTGCTGCTGGCAGCGCTCGTAGGGAATATCAAGCACAACTGCTGAGTCGTTCTTTGTTGCTTTCTTGTGATGCATTCTCGTTGCATGTGTTGGAAGGCTGTTCGGATCGCGCGGGCAGTCCTCCAACATCTGGCGTTGCTCGTTTGTCGCTTCGTCGGTGTTGCCAACGGGGCAGTGATGATCGAACTTACTAGATAGTAGATCTGAGGTCCAGACTGGATCTATACGTGATGTTAAGGTGGACAGATTGTGAGCCTGGCCAGTTTTCCGTAGTCTGCCGTGCTGCTGTTGATCACTTCGATGGCTTGCGAATGTGGGACAATGGTAGAACCGTCCCAGGTTGCAGATCTGTTGGCCGGATCAAGTCCATGTTTGAGAGGGCGTCAGCTTGCAATGGCGGTGATGAGGTTGTCGAGTAGATAGTCTTAGGTGCCGACAGTGCTGCGGGCAGTGCTCGTGGGGAATATGAGACACAACTGCTGAGTCGTCCTTTGCCGGTGCTGATTGCTTTCGTGTCATTCATTCTCGTTGTATGTGTTGGCAGGCTGTTCGGATTGTGCGGAAAGTCCTCCAAGATTTTACGTTGCTCGTGTGTTGTTTCGCCGGTGTTGCCAACGGGGCAGTGATGATCGAACTTCTAGATAGTAGATCTGAGGTCCAGACCGGACCTATCCGTGATGTTAAGGTGTGGACAGATTGTGAGCCTGGCCAGATTTCGGTAGTCTGCCGCGCTGCTGTTGATTTCTTCGGTGGCTTGCGAATGTGGACAATGGTTGAACCGTCCCAGGTTGCAGATCTGCTGGCCGGTTCAAGTCCAGGCTTTTAGAGGGTGTCAGCTTGCAATGGCGGTGATGAGGTTGTCGAATAGATAGTAGGTGCCGACAGTGCTGCGGGCAGTGCTCGTGGGGAATGTGAGACACAACTGCTGAGTCGTTCTTTGTTGTTTTCCTGTGATGCATTCTCGTTGCATGTGTTGGCAGGCAGTTCGGATTGTGCGGAAAGTCCTCCAACATCTGGCGTTGCTCGTGTGTTGTTTCGCCGGTGTTGCCAACGGGGCAGTGATGATCGATCTTCTAGATAGTAGATCTGAGGTCCAGACCGGACCTATACGTGATGTTAAGGCGTGGACAGATTGTGAGCCTGGCCAGATTTCCGTAGTCTGCCGCGCTGCTGTTGATCTCTTCGGCGGCTTGCGAATGTGGGACAATGGTTGAACTGTGGCAGGTTGCAGATCTGTTGGTCGGTTCAAGTCCAGGTTTGAGAGGGCGTCAGCTTGCAATGGCGGTGATGAGGTTGTCGAATAGATAGTAGGTGCCGACAGTGCTGCGGGCAGTGCTCGTGGGGAATATGAGACACAACTGCTGAGTCGTCCTTTGCCGGTGCCGATTGGGTTCTTGTCATTCATTCTCGTTGTATGTGTTGGCAGGCTGTTCGGATTGTGCGGAAAATCCTCCAAGATTTTACGTTGCTCGTGTGCTGTTTTGTCGTTGTTGCCAACGGGGCAGTGATGATCGAACTTCTGGATAGTAGATCTGAGGTCCAGACCGGACCTATCCGTGATGTTAAGGTGTGGACAGATTGTGAGCCTGGCCAGATTTCCGTAGTCTGCCGCGCTGCTGTTGATTTCTTCGGTGGCTTGCGACTGTGGGACAGTGGTTGAACCGCCCAGGTTGCAGATCTGTTGACCGGTTCAAGTCCATGTTTGAGAGGGATTCAGCTTGCAATGGCGGTGATGAGGTTGTCGAATAGATAGTAGGTGCCGACAGTGCTGCGGGCAGTGCTCGTGGGGAATATGAGACACAACTGCTGAGTCGTCCTTTGCCGGTGCCGATTGCTTTCGTGTCATTCATTCTCGTTGTATGTGTTGGCAGGCTGTTCGGATTGTGCGGAAAGTCCTCCAACATCTGGCGTTGCTCGTGTGTTGTTTCGCCGGTGTTGCCAACGGGGCAGTGATGATCGAACTTCTAGATAGTAGATCTGAGGTCCAGACCGGACCTATACGTGATGTTAAGGTGTGGACAGATTGTGAGCCTGGCCAGATTTCCGTAGTCTGCCTCGCTGCTGTTGATTTCTTCGGTGGCTTGCGACTGTGGGACAGTGGTTGAACCGCCCAGGTTGCAGATCTGTTGACCGGTTCAAGTCCATGTTTGAGAGGGATTCAGCTTGCAATGGCGGTGATGAGGTTGTCGAATAGATAGTAGGTGCCGACAGTGCTGCGGGCAGTGCTCGTGGGGAATATGAGACACAACTGCTGAGTCGTTCTTTGCCGGTGCCGATTGCTTTCGTGTCATTCATTCTCGTTGTATGTGTTGGCAGGCTGTTCGGATTGTGCGGAAAGTCCTCCAAGATTTTACGTTGCTCGTTTGTTGTTTTGTCGGTGTTGCCAACGGGGCAGTGATGATCGAACTTCTAGATAGTAGATCTGAGGTCCAGACCGGACCTATCCGTGATGTTAAGGTGTGGACAGATTGTGAGCCTGGCCAGATTTCCGTAGTCTGCCGCGCTGCTGTTGATTTCTTCGGTGGCTTGCGACTGTGGGACAATGGTTGAACTGTGGCAGGTTGCAGATCTGTTGGCCGGTTCAAGTCCAGGTTTGATAGGGCGTCAGCTTGCAATGGCAGTGATGAGGTTGTCGAATAGATAGTAGGTGCCGACAGTGCTGCGGGCAGTGCTCGTGGGGAATATGAGACACAACTGCTGAGTCGTGGTGCCGATTGCTTTCCTGTGATGCATGTCTCGTGGAGTGTGTGTTTGGCATCTTGCTTCTCTCGGAGTTCTTCAGATTTTGGTTTCCTGATGCAGGCTTAGCGATGGATTTGGGCTTTCGGAGCTGAAGAGTCGTAAGTGGGCCGGGTGACCTGACACTGGCAGATAGGCTCCAAGAGGTTTGAGGGGCAGATACATGTGACCTTCTGATGGGCTTGTTGGGCATGTCGGCTGGATTTTTGGTCTTGTTCTGTTCGGGGTAGGTACGGTTGAGGGAGTATGCGGTGTTTGTCGATATGTTTCTAGGCTGATGTTTTTTAGCAAGTTCTGTCTGTAGAGCTATCGCCCGTCAACGTGGTCGTTGTAACCAGTCGACTCCTGATCCTCCTTCTGGGTCCTTGTGTTAAGGAGCTGAAGTGAAGTTACCGCGATAAGTGTCAATCCCAAAGCTGCATCGAACCCTAAACCCTAAACCGTCCCCAAAGCTGTATCGAAATTAGGTTCCTCGACAGGATCCCTAAAACACCGACTGAAGTCCTAAACGCCAAAAGATAAGAATAGCCTCGAAACCTTAACCCCAAACCAACTCCATCTTCGCTTATAAGAACTGACTCCTGATAGTCCTTGTCGTCTCTTCCCTTACAAGAACTGACTCCTGATAGAATTTAATCCCTTACAGCCTTAGCCCTACACCCTTGGCAAGAACCCAGGAACTGTGATCCACTTACCTCGGCAAGCGGACTTCGTCATTGGTAGAAATCCCCAGCCGCACCCTGAGGTCTTGGCCGTCGATATCGTTTCACCTTTTGAGCTCTTGTTCACTATTGAGGGCTTAAAGTAAAGGTTATCATAAGGTGCTATAACGGTTTTATCGGGGTTCTGACGGAGGTTGAAGGAGACTTGAAATCTCAGTATTAATCCTCGTGATCCTGATTTTATGAAATGTCGCACGCCAAAATCTGGTTATTTAGGTTCGTGTGCACAGGAAGCCTAGGACGCGCATGTCGAAGGGCACAGGCACTTTTTAGGACGATTCGACATGGTTAAATATGCGTGCAATGCCATGCAGATCTGATAATACGCAATCTCAACTTTAGAGTTTGTGCACTCGCAGTTGTCATGTCTATTCTTTGCGTTCGCATGACACGGGAAGCCAGCAAATCATTATGATTTGACCTCTTTCATCTTATAGACGGGCGGTACTCAAATTTACTCTCCCTCTCAAGTCTTGAGCGTTAAAGCTGAGGACTCTCAGCGTTGAATGTCTCCCGAAAGGCCAATGCCTGCCCTAAACCTCTGAACCCCGACACCCGTTACCCCAAACCCTAAACCGAACTGTGCAGATTTGTTCGGGGTCGACCACACACATCCATCAGATCCATATGCCCCGACAGTCTGTTCCGGTGCAATGTAACATAGTTCTATATTTTTGTTGTGATGTCTTCATGCTGGAGTTGCTCTTCTTGCTGTCGCTGCTGTCGCTGTTGCGCTGCGTAAGATCTGTAATTTATTTATTTATTTGTTTATTTATTTATACATATAGTTGCTTGAACTGCTTCCTAAGCCCGCGGTGTCAAGCGTTGCATCCTGGACCATTTGCCTCCGTCACATTGCGCTAGCTATACTTGCAGTGCTAGGCTAGGGCTTCGCATAGAATGTCGATTGCAGCTTCAGCAGACATGAGCTTGAATCATGACGCCGGCATCCTTCGTGGCCCGCCAAAGGTGCTGCAATCTCGTGGTCGACAGCAAAGATGTGCCAAACATGGTCTCCAGAAGGCTCACCTTCAGCCCGCAAACCCGGTGCTGATGAAAAGCAATCCAACCCAAATTGCAGTAGCAATCCTCATGGTTAGTAACCCTCCAGTATGAGTCGGATATAGCGTTGCTTGAACATGATCTCGCAGGTGCTGCGGTGTTTGGGGCCTGAGGTACTGTTATTAACGGTGTTTTCTTGTAGTAATCCCTTCCAGCGGCGGTCCTTCGGATAGTTTGCTTCTTGGGCATCTTCAGTTCGTCTCCCTGCAGCTTTCGCCGGAGAGGCGCTGAAGCATTCCAGAACATGGCATGTTTCTACCACATTCGAAAGCACATTCCAGTTTTTGTGGTATCTTGTAGACCGGCTCCGAAGGTCTTACGTAGGTTGGGTAGGGTCGGGTGGGGTCGGGTCGGGTAGGGTCGGGTGGGGTAGGGTAGGGGAGGGGAGGGTAGTGTCGGGTAGGCAATGTCAATGTGCTGAGGGTTGCAAGTCGAAGGCTTGCTCCAAGGCTGACTGTAGGGAGATACCTAGAGGCTCCAAAGTAGTTCCTTTTTGGGGTTCATATATAGAATCCTATAAGGTCATCCCAAAAAGGAACTACTATGGAGCCTATGGGTACTTGCAGGCACGCCGTCATCGTCTCTGCCGATGATTCCATTATGATCATGGACTGCGAGTCAGTGAACGGCACGTTCGTGTCGCATGCTCAGTTCGGCGTCGGATCCTGCGAACCCCAGAAGACCTTGAGCCCTTCAGCACACGCAAGCTGCGATCGAACTGACGCTAAGTGCCCTAAGCATCCGAAACTTAGATGAGCACCTAGCTGTCTGAGCACTGACAAAAGGAATGGTCGCAGAGTTGCTCGAGAGACTCTGCGGCAAGGACAGGGCTTGCTGCTTGGAGGTTCATGGATAGTTATAAATGGGTGTATAAGTAAGTAGTCCCCTAATATGGGTGATAAGTATAGTTACCCTACTTATGACCCGACCCATACCTGCCCTAAACCCTAATCCCTAAACCCTATAGAACCCTTAACAGGAACCCTAAACCCCTTATAACCTTACTTTCAGCTACCCATGAGCCTCGAAGTGGGGCTTCGGCATCCCCGTTGGCCGACCTTGGAGAGCACTTTGCCAGGTGAATGAGGGCCATGCTCAGGGCTGCTACATGGGAGTTTCCGAAAACTGGGGGTACCTTATTTGGGGCTCCTTATAATAAGGATCCTACTATTTAGGGTACTATATTAGGGTCCCCGACTTTCGGAAACTCCCACATGTTATGGGTCGATATTTAGGGTTCCTGTAAGGGGTTCCTTCTGGAGGGGTCTGTATAGATTACGATAAAGGTTTTTTTTTTTTTTTTTTTTTGGGGGGGGGTTAATATAGGGGCCTTAACTCCCTTTCACTATTTTGGGGTTCCTTAATATAGTTATAGTATGATGGGCCCCAAAACCCTACTCTAATTATGTAGGCCTCTATATTACATGTTATACGGGTTGCTAAAGGCTTAGCAGTATTGTGGTGATTATTGTTAGAGGGGTTACTACAAGGGTTATGATATGTGAGGTCTAGAAGGAGTCGTGCGTGGAAGATGCAGTTCGAAAAGCACCGATTCGCGGCACCGCTGGAGCAGTCGGCCCTCAAACCCTTCCCGCACAGATTGACCTAGTCTCTGAGCCCGAGCTCGCCTCAACACAGCGACTTTCTCAGGTGTCGTGGCACGCGGACACCCTGCCCTGCCTTGTGCTTGTCCTCCACAGGAGATCAGATCATGGTCGGCAATCCGCAGCAAAGCCCCAAGGAGTTCCAGCCAGGTCCCTGGTTTGTTGCTCCGTCGCCTACGACATCGAGAACTGCAACACTACCAGCGACACCACCGACAACAAAAGGAAGACTAGTAGCAGCAGCCGCAGTAGTAGCAGCAGCAGCAGTAGTAATAGTAGTAGGGGTAGCAGTAGTGGTCCCAGTAGTACTGGTCTAGTACTAGAACTAGTACTAGTACTACTAGTACGACGACGATGAACATGGATGAGGACTTACTTCATATGGTTTTCAGTCTCGAGGATAACTGCATGTTTTTCTGCATGTGTTTCAACCCCATTCGTGGACCGAAGCCCCAAAGCTTCTCCGATCCAAGGTTCGAGGTCTCCATGCCATCGGCGCTGGACGCCTGATCCTACGAGGTGCCGACCTAAGATTTCTGTTCCATCAAGTTTGTGGGGGAGTTTTCTTGGTCAGAATGTATGCACTCTCTGCAATATGTGTGATGCTTGTGTTGCATTGTATGCGACATTTGCAGACGTACCGCATTTAGCTACTGTACACAACGTAGGTAATACGTATTTGTGTGATGCACGGTTATGCATGCCCGCATGCAGGTATGAATGCATGCACGTATGCATGTAGGTGTTTGTGTCTGTGTGTATGAGTGTTTGTATATACGTAATGTAAGTATATACGTAGTATATGTATGCGCGTGTGTGTCCGTGTGTAATTGCGTCTATGTGTCTGTATCCGCGGCTACTGTATGTGTGTATATGCGTCTACATCTGTGTTTGTATGTGTATATATATAATAATAATATAATATAATATAATATAATATAATATACAAAATATATATAAATATATATATATATATATATATATATATATATATATATATAGAAATGTATGCATGCACACACTTAATCATGTAGTACGTAGATAGGTAGGTAGGTAGGTAGGTATGTCTGAAGGTATGTAGGCATGTATGTAACATGTGTTTGCATATTTGTCTCTGTGTATGTTGTGTCCGTGCGTCTGTGTGTCTTGATGTCTCTGCGTCTCTGTTTGTCTCTGTGTCTGTGCGTCTGTGTGTGTGTGTGTGTCTGGTCATCCGTGTCTGCATCTGTATCTGTATCTTGACCTATGTGTAGATATGTACGTAACGAGGTCTGCATGTCTGTATATCTGCCTGTGCGTCCGCATGTCTGTTTGTCGGCCCACAGTTCATCATGATGCGCTATGAACATGACGCATCTCGCCGCGAAATTCACAGTTATTGGGGTTTAGGGTTTATAAGGGTTCAGGATTTAGGGTTGCAGTCGTAAGTTAGAAGACGCGCTCGTATCCGCGCTTCTAGAACCCTGTAAAGCGGATACGTCCATCCCCCGGTTTTTGATTCTTCGAACCTTTGGTGTGGTCCTGGTCTAGTCACAGAAGAGAAGCCTTGAAGAATCGGGCTGGATGATACATTGTACTATGGACAGGTAATGAATAGGAGAACTTGGTCCAGCCGAAGCAAGATGAACTCGGCCAAAGCGAAGAGTGTCTAAATAAATGGCTTCTGATTGAGGCCATGGTCCCAACGCGGTCCAGTTTTTGAATAATGCTAGGTACCGCCAAGGTATGCTCATTCCCACTGCTGCCAACTACTCAAGCTTCATCATTCGTCGTGATGTTTCCGCGACCTTGGCACCCAGGCGTCGTGATTCTGGCCAGAGCCATGTAGTTTTTTGGAAGATCTGCAGCCAGCAATTCAACGGTAGCTACCAAGCCCCAAACGACGGCGGCTCGTCTCTGTTCCGCACTCCCGAAACTTCGGGATTAAGTCGCGCTATTCGTGTTCGAAACGTATCATTGATTCATTGATGCCAGAGGCTCTGAGAGAGTACCCTAAGCCCATGTGGGAGTTTCCGAAAGTACGGGATCCAATATAGTGCCCTAAATAGTAGGATCCTCATTATAAGGACCCCAGAATAAGGAACCCCTGATTCGCGGAAACGCCCATATCCTTGAACTCTCAACCTCTAAGACCAGGCAGTTGGCCCCCTCGAACAGAGCCGAATGTAAGTGGGAGATCTCAACAAAAGACCCGCACAAGACCCGCCGAAGTCCACGGAGATACCTAACCTACCTGCTTACCTACCGATGGTGTTATCCAGCTGTATGACTATCTTTTTATTTGTCAACCGGTCTATTCAAGGATCTATGTAGATATGTATGGATCTGTCGACCTATTGATCTATCTATCGGTTTTTCTAATCTATCGGCCCACCTATTAACCTATCTGTGTATATACCTACCTACCTATCTATCTTTTGGTCTGTGTGTCTGTCCATCTGTCAGTTCTGCTCTAAACTTCAAGATGAGCCTAGTCCTATGACCTTGGTGTTCACAACCGTTCGTTGTGTTGAAATGCTCAAAAGAATCATCGGAGCCTTTCTGTTTCGAGTTTTAGGGCTTTAGGGTTTAAGTTTTGGGGTAAATTCTAAATGCTGGCTGCCAGTTAGTGAGCATCTTGTGCCCGATGCATGGGACGGGCCGGGATCCATCAGAGCAGCCGCCCAACTGAAGTACCTCAGCCGAGCTTCTCGGCCTAGAAAGGGATTTGGGGTGTGGGTTTTTGTTCAAATCGGTTTCGAGGGTTGCATGAAGCTTAGTGCGTTGGGTTCAGGGTTAAGGGTTTGGGGTTTCGAGTTCAGGGTTTAAGGAAGTCTTTCGGCCCAGAGTGGTAGTTAATAGACGATGACGTGCCCTGAGGCAGATCGAACAGTAGGCCGTCATGTTGAACTTGTGGCTAAACTGAACTTCATAATTGTAGTTCATGCTTGCTTCGGAAATTCAGGCGTGCATACACAGTCCGGGTCATGAATGCGCCTATGTGTGGATGTGAATGCTAACTTATTGCACTCTTACAGGCCGTGCATATATGATTGAAACTATTCGAACAATGGATGCCTCTTCATCATTTTACTTATTTTTTATGACAGCTAAACACCAGTCGCGCCGAACGCGAATCTCAGCGATTTGGAGTGCAGTAGGTCAATATCGCAGAAGGATCTCGGTTCAGACCGACGGTGCAGATGCAGTTGGAGCACCAAAGGTGCTAACGGAGATTCATCAGGTCGAGTGCGTCTATTGGTTTGGTATTGTAATATTAATCATTGTCGAACCGTTTCGGTTCGAGCAGTAGCCCACCAACCGTGGTCACGAACAGAAACCCAGATCTCTTTTTCATGACCAGGAAGTCGTGAGGCCAATAGCGCATAGGTTGTCCGGGCTAACCTAGCTTGGATACTCCTATAATCCTAGTTGCAGACTTGTGCGGTCTATACAGATAAGCATGCAGCACTTGCAAGTGGCTTGAATTAGTTGCCGCGTGGCAACTGCTTGTTTGTGCATACTGCCAACGCTCAATTCAGATCTTTTATCAGCGAGACAGGCTGCATAAGGCTGGTATAGAACGCGCCTGCTTGCAACTTCGGCCACATCAGCAAGTCACGGAAAGCAGTGCGAGCGGGTCATTTCGGCAGTTCAGGACTCGTTTGTAAACGCCGACAGCCAAGGCTGTACTGCGATTATCGTGATGGGAAAGGTTTCAGACGCTTCATCCTTGCAGGTACCCAGAGAGCCCAATACCTCTTAATTAAGGAATATACCTTAAATCATAGTATGAAGCCCCTAATAATTTAAGGTATATTCCTTAATTAAGGGGTCTTGGGCTCTCTGGGTAGTCGGCAAGTAAAGCCTCTTCAGATCGAGTTCCGTGATTCAGGCTTTGCTTGGTTAATGTTTGCTTTGCAGCTATTGAGCTGCGGCCTTGGCACCTGCTGGTTATTTTTCCCTGAGGCTCCATGTACCCATATAGTATATACTTAGGCCTTAAAGTACCTATATAGGGACCCCTTTAAGGCCTAAGTACCTACTATGAAGGTACATGGAGCCTTTGGGTTAGTCTCGGAGTTGCAGTGCTTGAAGTTGTGCGTCTTCCGGCAGGCAGGGCTCAGCTGTTTCAAGCGACAGGTCACCTGAAACCGAACTGGACAAGAACCCTCTCCCTTTTTGAAAGAGTCCATGCGCGATAAATTGCTGAGGTTTAAGACCGCACACCTTGGGCCGGGCGTGCAACCCACTGGAAACTGATCCAAAACAGTGCGGAAAGCTGCATCAGCCCGTCAGCACAGCCCCCTAAACCCCCAAGCCTACTCCACATCATCTTCAAGTTTGAGCCCTGAGCTCGAACTCTCATGTCGCGCCGCTCCCCTCGTGACACCCACAACGACGACGATGAGGCAGCAAGTTTGCGATTCCTTCAGGGGGCGGTTTGGGGTCGCCGGAAGTTTGCAAAGGTTCGAACGAACTTCCCCGCCTATCGGCTGTTGATTCTTGGGGTGTGTAGACTTTGGGAATACCTAGAATATCCATTGTAGTTCCTTTTCTTGGTTTCTACGTAGGATCCTATAAGGTAACCCCCAAACAGGAACTATAGTGGAGATTATTCGTAGTTATCTGAATCATCTTACACGTAGGGCTCGAAATGCTCCTTGAAAGCTCTGAAGTTGGGCAGGATCCCTAAACCTTACAAGCCTACACTGCCTACACTTACCCTGGGTTAGTAGGGAATGGAGGAATGGGGTACAATTATGTCTACTACTACTACTACTACTACTACTACTACTACTACTACTACTACCAATCTTCATTCCCTACTAACCAAAAGTAAGTAAACCCCGAAACCATGATACCCAGCCCCTAACTCAACTGAAGTGAGATGCCCAAAGATGTGCTGATGGGCTGCAGTGGTTAAGAGAGTGATGAACCCTTCCCACTAGTGTTAGGGTTTACATTCATGCCTGAGCTTGATGTTCCAAGTCCTCAACCTTTTATTTCAAGTCCAAACCCCTGAGCCGTAAATCTTCACCCATCGGCAACCCCCCAAACCCTAAAACCCCAGAGCCTTCGAAGCTTACATCCCAAACCCTAGCACCCGAAACCTTGAGCTATAGAACTGAGAACCCCATACCCCTAAACGGGACCCTCACCCCGTAAACCCCCAACCCCCAACTTGCCAACCCCCAGAACCCCACTAACCCCAAACACATGGATTTAGAATGTATACTGGGCTTTGGAGTGCCATACTTTAATACTTTTTGGGACCTGGTACTTAAAGGGAACCAATCATGAAAAAAAGTCTATACGCTTTTCTGCCTGGTTACTTCAAAACCCAGTATAGTACACTTTACCATACCCTCAAACCGTAGTCGCCTTGTTGAGGCCCCTATATTTATTAAGTCAGCACCACAATCTCGATCCTGATAGAGGCCACTAAACCCGAAGCCCTAACCCTAAGCCCCAAGAACTGAACCCCAGGAATCGAGCTTCTTTGCCGGTCAGCTCGGGAGGCGGATTTGGGATCAGGACTCAACGAAGCTGTAGTGCTTGGGGTTTAGGCTGTGCGCGGTTTAGGGTTTGGGGTGCCGAGTTTAGTGTCTCCAGTCTCAGGAGTCGATGGTTTAGGAAGGTCCCTTCGTTGTCAGGAGTCGTTCTGGATGAAGGTCCGCGAGCTATACGCTCGATCCCCGACCTTTACTTCGTCATCGACCCATCGAACGGGCTTTTCTTGGCGGTTGACTCGTTGACTCAGGTTTTCTGTATGCATTTACTGGTGACTGCCGCAGTTGCTATATTTCATTCAATGTCTTCGTTCTTAGTGGTGTTATCGTAGAGGTTGCCATGTTATCAGTAATGTCAATGGCTGTTGTTGCATGGACTGCTGCTTTTGCCAGAAGCACCAACGACTTCTATCGGCGAAGACAGTGTTGCGCAGGACCTGGTGTTCTTCAGCGACGACACTGTGGCTGAGGTGCCCGCTACTTTCGCCACCCTAGAAGAAGCAGTAACGACCTTCTCAATGCAGCAATTGCACCCTAACACCCCAAGCCGTGAGCCTTACATTAAACCCTAGGCCCTAAGCCCCAAGCCCTGAACGAGGGCTTGCAGCCGTCTGCGCTGAATGGCGGGAATATCGTCGACATCTTTCAGCGCAGAGAGGAGCCCGTGGCTTGCGGTGTTGAGGGACCCCTTTTGAATATACGGGCCTTAGTAACTAGAATGGGGTTTTGGGGATATTATCATATTATACATGTAATAAGGAACCCCGCGCACTTTTGCTAACTCAGAGCTGAATGAGCTTGCTCGCCAGCTTTAACTTTATACCCGTTCTAAGGTCTGAGCTCTGAAACCTACACCTTACGCACTGGTAATAGGTATCAATGGATTGCGATGTTGGGCAGCTTTGGGCGGAGGGGGTCTGTAGTTCAGAATATAGTGGGGTTACTCAGGTGTCGGGATAGTCGTGCTAGCATTCGTTACTTTCAGTACAGCCTTGTGTATATGACTGTGTGAATTCCTTGAGGGCACGGCTACGGTTCAGCTTAGCAGCCACTGCACGGAATGTCAGACGCCACGCCAGCACGCAGCCGCTCCGGTTGCCAGCTGAGTTGTGCAGCATTTGAGCGACACAGGAAGAATGAATAGAGGCTTGAACATGAATTAATATCATTCCTCTTTATGTCATAGGGTTACCGAATATATGCATATTATCATATACCCCCCCAAACTCAAACCCTATTCCAGTTAGTAAGATTCCTGTATTGCTTCCACGCCGAGGGCTTCAAGAGTGCAGAGGGTGGGATGCAAGGCAGGCTCGCAATTTCAGCACGCACTAACCAAAATCCAGCCAACAAGATTAAACACATGGTTTCAGGCCTAGGCTTAATTGCGAACTCTACCAGCTCCGCAAGAATCCCTGCTGAACTTGTTTCAATGTGATCCGTGTTCTGGTGCCGACGTGTTCCAACCAAAGATTGTAGAGGATTGCCGTAGTTTCCCGGGCCTAGCATTCCCCCATTCAACCCCTTCGACAGGGTTACTGAACCCTTTAAGCCGCAACGGCTATAAATCTTAAGCCCTACAACACCAAGAACAATATTGATATACACACAGACACACAGCAGCACGCACATATCTCCCAAGCCCACCAGCCATTCTCCGCAGCCGCGGTTGTGTGATCCCATGGAGGTGCTCACAGGAGGAGGGAGGGCTTGCCCTAAGGGTCCCAGCAGCGAATCATCATATCACTTTCCCAATTCGCAGACACAAGCCTGCCAAAGCACTGTCCTGAACCCCGGTAACTTGAAGGAATTATCGGCTCGTAGTGTTGGGGCTGAGTGAGATCAGAGCTGATGTGAAGCATTAGGTATTTGGAGTCGAGGATGGCGTGTTTCGGGCTTTATAGAGAGGTTCCGGTTTAGGGATTGGGGTTTAGGGTGCAGGATTTCGGGTGAGGGGGTCCCGTCAGCTCAGTCCCACTCACGGCCTTTATGGTATGCAGCTATTTTGTCTCAACAGAATGTGTGTTTGGGACGGGGGTGAAACGACGGCACCAGTGTTTGGAATTATATACAAACTAGAGTAACTAGAGTATTTAGGAGCAAGAAAGTTGAAACACCACTCTCTCCCAACCCCACACCTGAACAAGAGATCACCCATACAACTCATGCTAGTTTTCATGTTCTGATTGTTGGCATCTTCAACTTCTGCACTTGCGCACAATGCAAGTCAGTACGTAGAATTATAGACCACTGACCCCTTAGAACCTGACCCGTTTATTGGGCCTGCCTTTGTAGGTGAAGGTGCTTCAGCCCAGCGGCGCATGCTTCACCATCAAGATGGACAAGCTCGAGACTTGCGGGGCTTTGAAGGTGATCCGGGCTTGGCTCAAGAGCAGTAGCTGCATCAGTGAAGACCTTGCAAGCCCTAAACCCTGAGGTGCACTAATATTGGGACCTATTTTGGGGGGTTTCCTGAGTATACCCATAGTATGATATACGCCACAACCCTATTCAATTGAATAAGGCCCATATATTAGGTCTTGTAGGAAAGATGGAAACGGCTCAACCTCCGAGATGTTTTGGCTGTGTACTCGGGCCAGGTCCGGCATGTTAGCACCAGGCTCATTGCCGGAAGGTGTGAACTGCTAGGAGGTTTCCAAGTCCGATGTAAGAGCTCGGCGCATGACTTTCTCATGATGTAGAAGCGAGAGTTTCGCCATTGACATATAAACGTGCTGGCGCTTGCCGGATTTTGATAAGCCCTCCTTCGACGCTAACCCATAATCACATAACCCTCGGCCCTGAGCCTTCCAAAAGCCTTAGCTCTGAAACCCACAGGAAGCCCTGAACCCTGGACCCACGACCCCAAACACCATGTATGTATGCATGTATGTATATATATATATATATATACATACATGTACATGTACATGTACATGTACATGTACATGTATATGTATATGTATATGTATGTGTATGTGTATGTGTATATGTATATGTATATGTAATTATATGTATATGTATATGTGTATGTATATGCAATTATATGTATATGTATATGTATATGTATATGTATATGTATATGTATATGTATATGTATATGTATATGTATATGTATATGTATATGTATATGTATATGTATAGGTATAGGTATAGGTATAGGTATAGGTATAGGTATAGGTATAGGTATATGTATATGCATGTATGTGTGTATGTATGTATATAAAAAAATATAGGCCCTAAACCCCCAGCGCCCCTCAAGCCCTGAACCCCTATGGAGCCCCTACAACCCTAAACACCTGAGCAGATTGCCATCGCTACACAGACCCGGGTGTCAGCAAGGCGGCAGAAGCCGCTTGGATCCTCGGGGGCCGAGGGTTTTGAAGAGCTATTTAGGGAAGTTTCCGAGGTTTAGAGTTTAGGGGTTTAGGTGTATAGAGTTTAGGGTTTCGGGGTGTAGAGTTTAGGGTTTGCAAGATTTCGAGTTTAGGGTTTGCGGGTTTTAGGGAGAGCCCTGAATGAGTTGGAATACTCCGGCTTGGTGCTTACATAGATAGAGAGATAGAGAGATGGAGAGATGGAGACATAGAGATAGATAGACAGATGAACGGATAGACAGATGTACAGATGGATCGATGGATGGTTGGGTAGATTCCCAGAACCTGATAGACTCTAACACCCCAAACCCTGAACCCCGACTTTGAACTTCCAGGGTTATGTCCCGCTCTAAACCCCCACGCTCAACCCTTAGCCCTTTTCGGCCGAGAAGCAGCTATGAGGGCCCTTTCTGCTCTCTTGCGTTAGCGTTTTGGGCCCAGGGAATTGGGTAAAGGGCATTAGGTACAGGCTATAGCGGCAAAAGGTTGGGTATAAAAGGTAATAAAAGGCTATAGCAGCTTTTGGGCTCTTTTGGCGTATCCTCATGGGTGCTTAGATTTGTTTCTTATATTTTGGTTCCTATATCCCCTAAGAAACAACCAAAATTCTAGTTTTTGTTAGGGGTCTAAGCTCAGTATAATATGTCAGGCTTCTCTGTGGCACGGACTTGCTACCCGATTCGCCACTTGGCCGTCGCAAGACTTGCGTTTCGGCTTGGGGGCAATTCCGCACAAAGCTTTGTGGTGTCATCTCATATGGGTGGTTGTCAAAATTATGATCCCTTTTTGAGTACCCTAATTGTTAGGTGCCGTGTTCTATAGGGGACCCCAAAAGGGACCCTAATTTTGACAACCACCCATATGGTAACTCACACGAAGTATGTTCTATTTATCGACTGCAGGGGCCTTTCGAGAGGGTACTATGCAGGGGTTTCGGGCGTTCTTGATCCCTGGGGTCGCATCTTCATGGCGGCGTTGTTCTCGCAACACGCGCCTGCGGCATCCTAAGCGTCAACCTCTGCAAAGCGTACAGCAAGTTGACACAGCACCCAAATGCTTGAACAATTGTTGTTTCCGACATTTCGTCCTGCAAGTCTATCTCTTGCGATCTTTCGGCGGCGTTGGTTCGACTTTCTTGGGGCAGTACCCAGGCGCAACGTGAAGTCGGCGACTGTGTGTTTTTTCGGGTCGCTGCTTCAACTGGTTGTGTCTCACAAATGCACTAGTGTTGTTCTGTTTTTGTTGGCATTCCTTGGCAAATCTTTACACATGGGCAGTACATCCATCCATCCTTGCAGCCATCCAAGCGTGCATACATGTACATACATACATTGATATGCATGTGCAGACCTGCGGAGCTAGGTGCCCAGAGAGCCCAATACCCCTTATTAAGGAATATACCTTAAAATCATTAAGGGCTTCATATTATGACTTAAGCCATATTCCTTAGTTAAGGGATATTGGGCTCTCTGGGTGGTCCTAGACCCGAAACCTCCAACACCTTTGAGGAAGAGACTGGAGGAGGTGACCTCCGAAGCGTCCGTCGAGGTGCTGTTGTTGGTCAGTTCCTCGGCTGCGGTCCAGCTGCCGCCTGTGAGTTTAGGGTTCATGGTTTTGGGGTTAAGGGTTTAGGGTTTTGGGGTTTAGGGTTTAGGGTTCATGGTTTTGCAGTTGCATAGGCTTTATAGGGTCAGAAGTGCCTGCATTGCAGGTTTTGGTTGTCGATTTGGCCTGGTTCTGGGGTTTCTTGATAGGATCGTCAGGTCCGGTCTGCGACCTGGTTACACATCCCGGCGTCACCCCTGGCATCTGGGACTGCGATGCCTGCACGCTCGAGCAGCCTCTGATTGTAAAGGATGACGACCCTGGGTAGGCCTTTGGGACATTTTATATTTTCCCTTATTGGGCTTAATAGGACCCTATTTACGAATATTTTTCAGAGGCTTTAAGGGGCCAACCTAGGACCTGGCATTCCAGGACGTGGAGGATGCGATGCGGCTGGAGGATTCTTCGTCCTTGAAAGCAAGATAAGGCGCAGTCTGCTCAGAATCTGGCACTTTGAAGGGTACCCCGAACACCAAAAAGACTGCTTCGGTTAACGGTGGCTAGTTGTCTCATTCTCGCATTAAGACCAATCGAAACGAGAAGGGCAGTTGCCATCCCAGCGAGGACGGAGAGCTGTATACCCTTTTGAAGTCGCGGAACTACGGGACAGGGCTGCTTTGTGTACAACTGTGGCGAGGCATTCCAGGATCATGCGTTCGTCGATTTCCGTTGTCGCCACGCTGGCTTGACACATACGTCTCTGTCTTTTTTTCTCCGGATGGGGCGTTTGTGGTTGCCGACTGTTCAGATTACGAGACGGTGCGGATGTGGCACACATTGACAGGGGAGCCTCACGCCTGTTTCAATTCCGGACCCGACTTCGACAACACTGGCACGATTTGCTCTATGCAGTCCATGTGCCGGATGGCGCTGGTTGTTTACTCTGGTGCGATAGAACTCTGGAACTACCACGATGGGATTCGCAGCCATCGTTGGGAAAATTTCGAAACGTTTTTTTACCACTCAGCTCGGCTTTCGATTTCAGGGTCATGGATTGCATATTGGAGCGATAGTCGGGAACTGACGGTTTGGGAACGTGACCACCAGCTTGATGCTATGAGTCTCTCTAGGGTTGACCGGGCAGCCTTCTCGTCAGATGAGAAGGAGATAGTAGCGATGTACAGGGATGACGGACAGGTGGCAGTGATACGTCTCCGTGATGGGCAGACACGAACTGTCGTTGTGCCGGAATGCAGGTGGCTATTTTCGGATATCGGCTTCTCCGTAGATGCCTCTACCATTTTTCTTGCTGAGTCCAACGGACATCTCTTCCGCTGGTCGAGGGAGTCGATGGAGCTTTTACCAGCCACACCGGGCCCTCCAAAGGACGTCATGAAGCTTGGACTTTGTAGCGATGGGAATACTTTCTTCCGCAGTGACCGCGATGGACGTGTAGAGCTTCTGGACCTCATCGAAGGTGCTTTCCGTGTTCTGCAAGTTGAAAAGGCTTGTGCCCATGGGCGCTTCGGCAGGTTTGTGCTTCCCAGAATATCATCCTTTCCGTTCCCTGACCCGAAAATTTCATGTCCAGCTCCAGGCCTACAAGGTAGAAAGGCAGGGAAGGACACCCTGAACCCAAAAATTGCCCTAAACCCCAACCCAGCCAGATCCCGGCCGTGTCTCTCTTGGCGTCTTCAACAGCCACTTCTCTCAAGTCACAGCTTTCGACCTCAAAGCTAACGAACTAAAGAACCCTAAAGAACCAAACTCCAACACCGCATCCCCTAAGTCTTGCACCCTATTCGACCCAGAAGCCCCGAGACCGTCTCAATCGTATGTGTCCTACACGCTAGATGCCCTATGTAATGTAGAATACCCGGTCTACCACAGAAGTTCAGAGTTTGAACCCAGCATTTTTTGGTTTCAGGTTTTGGAGTTGAGAATCAAGGTTGTGTGGATGAGCCTTGAGAGCTTGTTTGTGGCTCAGGGTCGAGTATTTGAGGTTTGGCTTCCACCCAACATGATCAAATTTCTAGACTGCGCTGCAGGGCTTGATTCGAGGTTTTTCAGTGTTTAGGGCACCACTATAGGAGCCTGAATATTCATGTGGGTTCCCTATCAGAATCATGCTGCAACATATCATCCCAAGTTGAAGATTAAGGCAACTACACCGTAAACCCTAAATTCCTAGTCTAGTCGTTAAGGCCCCTACAGTGCCCTTTCAAAACTTCGGAACAGGAGGACTACGAGGCACCTGTGACATTGGAGGTTGCATACACCTCGGAGAGCGGCGAGGAGGTCCGACCACCAAAGCTTTCTGGACTAAGCTACCAGATCCCAGATCGGGTTTGGGGTTTGGGGCTTAGGGCTCAGAGTGTATCACGGGTTTAGAGGTTGCGGGTGTGGAATTGATGAAGGGTGGAGTTTATAAGCTCTGCGAGTGGTTTCAGGGTTTAGGGTTGGAAATTTCCGTGCTGTTCAGAGGCTGAGTACCGATACACAGGCACGTCTTGTTTGCGAGTGTCCGTGAACGGATTGATGGATGCCAGTTGTGTGTTAGCACTTAGTGATTAGTAATTGTCTACACGGGCTCTCTCAACACACTAAGATTACTGGCAAAGCACCCGTGCTGCGTTTGAAGTTCACTGCATTACACTGTATATACGTATGTAGATGTGTATATATATATATATATACTTATATATTTGCATGTCATATATGCCAGAAGCCGCAATTTCATGAACCTCGCTGCACCGAAACGAAAATGCGGCCAGCTCCGGCGGCCCCAACACAGAGTTAATATAAGGGCCCAGATAATTACTAAGACTATTGTGAGGAACTAATTATGTAACTAATTATGGTATACCGGACCCCGAAACCCCATTCTAATTGTTAAGGCCCCTATGTTACACGCACAGCTTGTTCCAACGACTCTTTCCACGATGGTTTCACCTCATACATCAAGTGCGGGGTCAAGACTTTATTGCTGCCCGTCTGAATTAACTAGACCCCATCACTACCGAATCATACTGGAAATAGAAGGCCCTAAACCCTAAACCCTAAACCCCTGAAGTAATGCAGCCTGGCAGCCTCTAGGGCCTTGGTGGCCGTTACGCGTGGAGGTCCACGAAATCATTTTCGTTGATGCCAGCGTGCAGCCGGGCATCTGGGTCGAGTTTAGGGGTTTCGGGGTTTGAGCAAGCTGTCCTCAGACGTCCCATGTGAGAAAAAAAAGCAAAAAGTCCTGAACGAAGAAGCGGGTTCAGGGTTTGGAAAGTTGCGTGGCTGTTTGGGCCTAGCCAGTTCGTTGGTCTTTGCATTGCCTTTTTTGGGGGGCTTTCATTAACGATTGATTAGCTACGCGGCTGCTAGGGGTTTACAAGTGGCTCGCTGGGTACTTGTAGGTTTGGGGCTTTATCAATAAAGCCTCGGTTGTTTGCCATTTGGCTTTAACAATCCCGCATGATCCCAAGCTAGCCCGAAAAAGATACAGCCCCAAGCCGTGTTGGAGCAGAGGGGGCTTCCATGTTACGCATAAGCCCGAATCCTAAACCCGACCGGAGGGGTTAGGACGTCTTTTGACAGGGATGCAAACTCAAAGCCGAACGCGGGCTCAGGAATGGGTGGCCCACGTATTTTGGTGCCAGCCACTCACCTGGAGGGTCAAGAGGTTCCCTCTACTCTCGGTTTCAGGGCTTGCAGGGTTTGGAAGACTATTTGGGGCTGAGGGTTCGCGATGGGATGTGGTTCAGGTCGTTGTGTGCATTTCCGTTTGCAGACGTAGAGAGATTCATCCCCATTGAGGGTGGAGCTGCCGGGTTTGAGGCCGGGAAGGGTTTGGTTGAGGGTTCGCGTGCAGAAGGAGAAGCCCCCCCCAGCGCTGGGCCACAATGACCTGCACAACAAAACCATCTGGTATTCTGGCCCCAAGATCAGCCGGCTGGAGCCAAGCCAGGCAATACGGTGTCGCAGATACAGGCTAGCCTCAAAATCACAAACCGTGACGAGTTGCGACTACCAGCCCTCCATGCGCACTCAGCCACCGAACTTCCCCTTAACCCTAAGCCCCTAAACCCGAAGCTCGAGGCCGCTAAGCCCCAAAGCCCAAAACCCAAAGTCACCCTGAACCCAAAACCCAGGCAAGTCGGGTGAACACCATGAACCGGGCCATCTCGGTCTTGACCCGTAAGGTGCCTTCTGAACCAGAGTAACAATAGGGTTCAGGCTTTAGGGTTTAGGGTTGGGGGGAAGAATGCGGATTTGTCATGCTGGCCTCATTGTAGTGCCGATATTACAAACAATGTATTCCATTCTAATCACTAAGTCATTAAGGGCCCCAAGCCGAGGAAAAAGCTTTAGAGCCAGTTTATATGACGTCGGGTTTGGCACTTCGAGCTATTGCTTTGGCATTACCAAACGTAGCTGGGCATAGCTATTCTGGACCTGGGGGGGGGGATGCAACCCACTAAATACCCAGTATTTAGTGCTGTTTTGACCAAGGCCCAAGCAATGCCTTTGCCTCATCCCCAGAAGTGGACTGCCAAAACAGGCCTAAATACCCAGTATTTAGTGGAATTGGCACTAGGATTGATTGTTGGAAGCCCCGGCTACTTGTGTGAGCACCTCTTAGCGGAGCACCCCTTTTCAATATGACCAAGTATTGATCGGGGTGTTGCAGTAGAGTTTACTGTGGTGGGACGTGGGTTAGGAAAGATTAGCGTCCAGGGAGCAGGGTTCCCTAATTATATCAAAGTCGGGCAACCCGGGTGTTGTGGGGGATCCGCTTTTCTAAGAGGGACATAGTCTGTTACTGGTAGGGATTCAAATAAACAAGAACTCTACTTACCAATTCCGTAAAGTCTTAAGAAATGAAAGCCAGACCCAGGCGAGCCGTTGTTCAGTATCTAGGTCTAGGTTCCAGGGTTCAGGCTAGATGTAGGGCTTAAGGTTCAGGATTTCTCCTGTCTCGAAACACTGGAACCCAAGGCCATAAACCCCTAAACCTTGATAGCCTATAGGCGTAGCCTCTATACCCCCTAAACCCTATAAGTCCAAAAATTTCCTTTTAGGAACCCTTGCAGGAACCCTGTTTGGGTACATGGACCTTTTTTGGGTGTGCGCAGGTGGACAACCTCACCACGACGCTTCGCCTTTGCCGGTCCGACTACTACAAGGCGGCCGCGGCTGCAGCTGGGAGGTTAAGGGTTAATATGGAGGCCTCGATAATTAGAGTTCCAGTAAGGGGTTCCTCGTAGAGGGGTCTATAAGGATTATGATAAGGGTATGTTGCGGGGGGTTTAGTATAGGGGCCTTAGTTACCTATACTAT